TGGTCAAGCTCGATCCCAGAACCTCCTCGTCCGTACCGCTCTCTTCCTCCTGTATATCCTCCATCTCTCTCCACAGTCTTCTTCTTCTTCTTCTTCTCACGTCCTTTTTTTTTATATACAAATAGGTCTCTCGACGAGAACGACTATGGAAAAAGCACCTCTCTCTCTCTCTCTCTCTCTCTCTCTCTCTCTTTCTCTTTCTCTTTCTCACTCTCTCTCTCTCTCTCTCTCTCTGGAATTTGCTTAAAGAGAAGATGATGAAGGAGACAATACGAAATTACTTGATCACCCTCAGGCGACGAACCTCCAAAGGACACGTGTCGAGTTGTGGTTGAAATGGCACTCTGTAATGTGTAGAATGGGGGAAATATTCAGAAAAATTGTTAATATAGATACATAATAATGTTTTGTAGGCAAAAAAAAAAAAAGATACATGATAATGTTTTTCTTTTCAATATATTTGTTTTGCTTTATTTGATAAGCAGATAAAGTTCTTGTAACGATTATTGTCAGGGAGTGTGAATGAGAGAAAGAAAGAAAAAAATACTCACGCGCTTACGAGTGCGCGTGGTTCTAATATTCAGATATCTGAGAGTGTGTGTCGCTGTCAAAGGGGTATAATTGGGAATACGAGGCTTCGTCTTATTAAATTAAAACAATTTAAATAATACAACGAAGCTGAAGATTTTAGTTTCGTGATTGGATCGTGCTTGTCACACGCGCATAGGATTCGTTGGGTACATTTTTCTTTTATTTATTTTTAATAACTATGATTTTTTAATTAAGAAAAAAGGTTTTATTAATTGGACAGAAAAAAAAAAATTGTCCTTTTTAATCTGATCTTCGATTTCTCTATTATAGTATCAAGATGTTCTACTATTCACATAATGTACTTTATACATATTTACAGCTAATTATCTAGTATAAAAATACCAAAAAAAAACTAATACACACGCAAACTAAAATGTATAAAATACCGAAAAAAATGATGTACATAAAATGTAGGATCTGAAAGGAGTATTAGTGTATTATGATCAAAGTAACAAGATGGTGTGGATAAAAAGTTCAGGACCTTTGTTGTGTTAATACTCTCAGTATATGCACTGAATAAATCATATCATATAAGACGTTAAAAGTTTCAACCGGAATCGGTTTTGACCAAATCATACATGGACTTTTCAAAAGCTACATAGCTAGTATTGCATTTCTTCAAGTCATTTATTACGAGTATAAATTAGGTAGAGACGTTTTTTGCTCTTATGTTTTTCTTCTTTTGGGTATATGAATGAATGAATTGAGATTTGAGAGGGATCATCCCTACAAGATACCTTTTAAGCTATGTATTGAGAGAGAAGAAAGGTGCATGGTGGTGGTGCCTGGTGGGGTGGGTGGTCTAGCTGTAAGAGGGAGCAAAACCGTCAGAATGCTGCGTTGTAATCATAATTAGAGACAACGCAATTCACAAACATCAAAACCAAAGTTAAAAAAAAAAAAAAAGTGTTTTGTCCAGTTTCTGCGATTCACACGTGGCGTCACGTCAATGGTTGTGGTTTTTTCGGCAAATTTGTAGTATTTGTTAAAACGCAAATGTTTGTTTTGTTTTTGGAATTTAGTTCATGAAAAAAAAATATCGAGGGGTCGATCAAAAGAAGGAGCAGATTATTTTTTTTTTAAAGGCAAGTGGGCTTTTTGTTTGTACTTTTGTTGTGGAATTGAATTGTTTACACATGCCAACTGCATAATTCATATCATCATCATATGTATGTAACGTACACACACTTATACACACAACTAACGTTATTATTTGCAGGATTTAACTCTGTCTCTTTGCTTCATTCTTTGTAAAAGCAAATAATAAACAAAACAAACAACCATGAAACATCTAAAGATAATTAGAGAGAGGAACCAGAGAGTTGACCATGTATATATTAGGGTTGCATAACTCGAATGCAAACACTCAACTTAAAAATAGGCGGCACGTTTCATAATATGTGGATTTTTTTTTCCATAATATATGTGGATTTACAATCGTTCATTAAGGACTAACCACAAAGGCCAAACCCATAAACTACTAAATCCAACATTCATTGGGCGAGGAGGATGGACAAGTTTTTTGGAGCTTGCAGCGTACCAACAGTACTTTTGTGATAACAACTTCACCGCAAGACTGACTTTTAATCTCCTTCTTAACTCACTTTTCGCATCATTGCATAAATATCTAATTATATGTAGAGATACTTTCTTTTTTTCTTTTTTATTTTTTTATTTGGTGACAAGAAATATCAAAAACGAAAAGACCACTTTGAGAACAATACAAAAGGAGCTCGAGCACAAAAGAAGAAGGAAAAACAAACTGCTTTGGTGTTTTCTTGTTGTTGTCTTTTCCGTGACAACCGAGGGAAATGCCAGCTCGATAGCTTTCCTATATCAGTAGTTTATTAGGAAAGAGCCATTGTCGACACCAGCCGTGAAGTATATATGAAACATCACTTTTAATAGCAAGGCATGCCATGCCATGCCATCCTTTTCTATCACATACTAACTACAATTTGTTTTCATATCAAATGGGAGAATACTAAGTACATTTCAATCCCCCTGAGATAGTTAGGGCATATGAGAATTATACGTAGTTTTGTTGTGGTTACGTCTATGTTAATCATATTGTTCGGAAAACGTTTTTTATCCCATACTATTTTCAAAACTTTTGGAAACTGAGAAGTCAGCAATAAAACTCATCATGATGCCTTTGCAAAACTTGTGCCATTGAAAAATTATCAAGCCTTAGCAATTTCACTAGGGCCAAAATGGCCCAATGTCCAAATAGCCTGAACGGTAGTCGCTAGGGCTTTTGAAACAGAACAATAAATTAACATTGACGCACTTTATTGTGTTGCAAGCTAAGCTACTACTTTAGACTTTAGTATATATATTGATTCTCTTAACGTACGTGTTCAATTCTGTACTTGTAGTAACATTGAAACATATATATTCCGTGCAAAGAGAAATCTAGTCGTCGTCGAATTGGATACGTTAACGTTACGAGTCACCATTAGGGCCATATACGAAATACTAGGAGAGGCATGAAAGTCCGTGCATATTAAAGATCAACTTGATTGCTACCCAAGTATATAGGGAAAAAAAAGCAAATTGTATTTGTAAAATCTCTTAATGATACCAAACAAACAGGACTAATACCAAAAATAAACTTTTTAAACTATATGATTTGAATTGAAGCTCTGATGATAAATTGATGAGAGAGTCTAATACATTATTTCGTTTTGTGTTCTTACTTCGATCACAGTCACAAGACTCACAACACACAAGTTCTCACCTCACAATACTGTTCAGCATGCGTTGCATTACAGTTTCAAGCTTTTATAAGAATATTTCATTTATCATTTTCATTATTTGTCTTGTTATGTACAACTGTTGAAAAAACACTCAACAGAACGGGTAAAAATAAAAATAAAAACAATTAACCAATAGAAACCGTAACTTTAGTAAAAGCGTTCAATAATGTCTTGACGTTCTTTAAAACCACGGTCGTAGTGGTTTTGGGATATATAATAATTAATTTCACGGTTGTCACTTAAAAAAAAAAAAGTAGAAAAAAAAAGTAATCAAATAAATAAATTAGTAGTTGCGAGAAGAAACCAAAGTTGGAAAAGAATATTACCGGCGACTCCGTTGGTTTGTAAAACAAACAATGCGATGGTTTAGAATGACGGTGGCCCTTTTTTCATGATTGTATATTAGGTCGGCTTATTTTACTTTAAATATTTTTTTTCTCTTAAAAGTAATGTAAGTATATGATTTCATTTAAAAGATAATAGTAATTTACAAGCTTGGGTTAAGTAATATTTTTAACCTTAATCCTCAAAACTGGAATAGGAATAACTTGTTTGTTGCTAAAAAAAACAAAAGGAAAAGGAATATTTTTGAATTATTTGGTGACTTGAAATTGTTTTTCATATAAAAGTGATCATAGTCAAATACATATAGGCATATAGAAGGGGCATTTTTAAAATTGTTCCTTCATTTAACTATGTTAGGTTGCATTATGTCAAATCATTGATATGCATTTGCTAGCTGTTTAGGAAATATCAATATTAATTAAACAAAATAAAAATAAAAAACTAAAAATATTAGCTATGTATATCCCTTGGAACAATATTATGTTGTGTGAACTTAACGATCGTATTTTATCGTTACATCACAAAAGATGAAAGTTACACAAGGATTTGAATACTGGTCCATCATAGATCTACGTTTTATCTTTTGTATGATTATTAGTAATTTAGTACAACTAACGCGATTAAGTGAATAAAAAAATTGGAGATTTTTTTTTTTTTTTTTTTTTTTTTGCAGATATTTCTTAATCAACTAAATATTATATATGATGATAGTATGATACTATAAGAAGCAAATCCTCGTGGCACTCAACGACGACAATGGTCCGAATGCGTTTTATAAAAAAATAAAAAATTGGCTGACCAAATTCAAATGGCATCACGTCTCTTCTCTCGTTGACGCCTTTGACACGTTGTATGTTTTGTTTAATTAGAAGAAGAAAAAAAAGTTACAATTTTACTTCTTTATTAACCAAAACTGAGTATACAAATTATTGCGACTGCTAAAAACTAGACTCAAGTTAAGACACTAAACTTGGAAAATCAAATATCTAAATTTTGGAAATCTCGGAGATATTAACAGTTGTAACTTTGTTCACACGTATAATTTGTTTTTTTACAAGAAAAATACCGTGATTAAGAAGTATTGATGTCTAATTTTGGAATATTAAGATTTTTTTTTCATTTTACAGAGTAATACAAAACAATTAATGCATAATTATTTTTTTGGGTCAAAATCAAATCAGATACTTATTTTTGCTTTTGCCACAAGAAAACAGAAACAACAAACCACTAGTCAAAAAAACCACCCATGTATTTCTCCTAGTCTCACTATATGTATATAAAAAGCTCTGCCCATTCCCATTTTGTTTACTCATCCCATAAAATAAGAAAGACTCTCTCACTCACTCACCACTTCACAGTTTTTTCTTTAATCTCTCCCCAAATCCCATTCAGAACTCAAATCATTCTCTCTGTTTCTATGGATACCAAAATCGGATCCATCGATGAGTGTAAACCGACGACTGGCGACGTCGGTAGTCCACCGAACGGCGCCGTCGCTACAATCCACGACTCTGTTCCTCCCTCCGCCATCTCCGTCAGCTCATGCGACGCCACTCTCGGTCGTCACTTGGCTCGCCGTCTTGTCCAAGCCGGCGTGACCGATGTCTTCTCTGTTCCCGGCGATTTCAACCTCACTTTGCTCGATCACCTCATGGCTGAGCCGGAGCTGAACCTGATCGGTTGCTGTAACGAGCTAAACGCCGGTTACGCTGCCGACGGCTACGCTAGATCTCGTGGAGTCGGCGCTTGCGTTGTGACCTTTACCGTTGGTGGACTCAGCGTTTTGAACGCGATCGCTGGTGCGTACAGCGAGAATCTTCCGCTTATCTGTATCGTCGGAGGTCCTAACTCCAACGATTATGGTACTAACCGGATTCTTCATCACACCATCGGATTACCTGATTTTAGCCAAGAGCTTAGGTGCTTTCAAACCGTCACTTGTTATCAGGTTACTCAAAAAAATCAGATCAGATCATTGAATTTTTGTTTTTCTATCCAGAATTCGGATTGTGATTTTATTGTTTGTTTGTCATCAGGCGGTGGTGAATAATTTGGAGGATGCTCATGAACAGATTGATAAAGCGATATCAACAGCTTTGAAAGAGAGCAAGCCTGTGTATATTAGCGTGAGCTGTAACTTAGCTGCGATTCCTCATCATACATTTGCCCGTGATCCAATCCCTTTTTCGCTAGCTCCTAGGTAATTATTATTACTCTGATCAAATTCCTCTGTTTCTCCGAGTATCAAAACTCACAAATGCTTTTCTTTTTATATAAGATTGAGTAACAGCATGGGTCTAGAGGCTGCGGTAGAAGCAACATTGGAGTTTTTGAGCAAGGCTGTGAAGCCAGTTATGGTTGGTGGTCCTAAGTTGCGTGTGGCTAAAGCTTGTGATGCCTTTGTGGAGCTAGCTGATGCTTCAGGCTATGCTATGGCGGTGATGCCTTCTGCTAAAGGCTTTGTACCTGAGCACCATCCGCATTTCATTGGCACTTATTGGGGAGCTGTGAGCACTCCTTTCTGCTCTGAGATTGTGGAATCTGCGGATGCTTACATTTTTGCAGGTCCAATCTTCAATGACTACAGCTCCGTGGGTTACTCGCTTCTCCTCAAGAAAGAAAAAGCCATCGTTGTGCATCCTGATCGAGTCACTGTGGCTAATGGTCCTACCTTTGGCTGCGTTCTGATGAGCGATTTCTTCAGGGAATTGGCTAAGAGGGTGAAGCGTAACGAGACGGCTTATGAGAATTACCATAGGATCTTTGTCCCTGAAGGTAAGCCATTGAAATGCAAACCAAGAGAGCCATTGAGAGTCAATACAATGTTCCAACACATTCAGAAGATGCTCTCTAGTGAAACTGCTGTGATTGCTGAAACCGGTGATTCTTGGTTTAATTGCCAGAAACTAAAGCTGCCAAAAGGATGTGGGTACGTATCTCAGAGAAAGACTCAAATCTTCTTACGTATTAAAAAATAGGGATATAAGCACAAGATCTAACTATTCTTTTCTAAAATTGTAGGTACGAGTTTCAGATGCAGTATGGATCGATCGGGTGGTCTGTTGGTGCGACCCTGGGATACGCACAGGCAGTCCCAGAGAAGCGAGTGTTGGCATTCATCGGAGACGGGAGTTTCCAAGTGACGGCTCAGGACATATCAACAATGCTGCGAAATGGTCAGAAGACGATCATCTTCTTGATTAACAACGGTGGCTACACCATCGAAGTGGAGATTCATGACGGTCCTTATAATGTGATTAAGAACTGGAACTACACTGGTCTCGTTGACGCCATTCATAACGGTGAAGGCAACTGCTGGACTTCAAAGGTAAATAAAACGGTTCATGAGTGATGAAATGAGAAACTAAACCAAATCTTGGTTCGAAACTAACTAACATATGAATGTGTGTGTTTTGACAGGTAAGACACGAAGAGGAATTAGTTGAGGCGATAAAGACAGCGACCACGGAGAAGAAAGATTGTCTCTGCTTCATTGAAGTGATTCTTCATAAGGATGATACGAGCAAAGAGCTCCTTGAATGGGGCTCACGCGTCTCTGCTGCCAATAGCCGTCCTCCCAATCCTCAGTAGGAAGGAAGGAAGCAACAGTACCAATCTCATGACATTGTTTTCCTACTGCCTTTGTCTTTTTACCGTCGGTTTTAATTGGAGCTTTTTTTTTATTTGTAGCTTTTCAGTGGAATAAAGTAAAGTTCCTTTTCAACTATTGTGCTCTTTTGTCTTTAAAGTTCGAATAAACCCAAATGGTTCAATCTACAATTTTAAATTAGACACAAAAAATACTTTATTCGGAGTTGCTTGATTTTTTACCCATACTTTTTGGAATTTTAACTTCTGCAAAGGTCTTGATAAGAAAAAAAAACTAAGGTCAAGTTTTTTTGCTTGAAACTGAATCTGAACCAAAACCACAGTAGCCATCCAACTTGTAACGATTTCGATCGACTGAAGAAGTGTCCAATATAAACGTTAGTCAAAAGTGCGAAAAACATATCTAAGTTTCCTACAAGTAACAAGTATATTAACATAGTTCTGTATCATGGGAGCTAGTGACCCTCTTGTTTTAGAAGCTCATGTCTCTTTCTGTATCTAAGTGTAAACAGGAGGGAATTTCACAGAATCACAGTGAACGGGGATCTTCAGAATCAAGAAAACAACATAAGCAAAAAAATCGAATGCTTAAGATTCCCAAACTCAGTCAAGAGATTTTCCTGACCATTCTCGCTCCCTTCGTTTTTGTTTGGCTTGCATTCTGTTGAACTTTTCTTTTCCTTTTTCAAGAAGAGGGTCGACCACTACATACGCATCTGGATCATCCCTGCGTGACATTTTATCCTGCAGAATAGTTTCACATTTTCAGGCTCTTCCACAGGAAATGAACTTATTTGTGACTAGCATGTTCTATCCCACGAACTACTGGATTTTTCTATTTTAATGTTAACTAAAGAAATAGAACAACGTAGCACTATATCCATTAGATCTTCACTCTGAAAAAGATGGAGCCTTAAAGATTTACCTTGCCAGGAGCAAACTTGAGCTTTACTTTCTTCCAATCAGACAGATCTTCTTCTTTATTGTCTACTGGTTCACTACTTGAGGCCAATGCTACTGGTTTACTACTAGAGGTGAATGGTTTTGCAGAAATGGACTGCTTAAACTTCTCGAGTTTGGCTAACACCTGAAGAAAGCAAAGGAGCAAAACGATGATCAATTAAAAGAGACAACTGACAGAATTAAAATTAGATGAGTAAATCCTAGACCCAGAATTTAAGAAATTGTCGTCTAATACTATTACTCTGACAATATTAGAATTAACCTTTAGGCAATAAGTATACCACAATGAAGCAAGGACAAGGTTTGGCAAATGAACAAAAGGGAATAACGAATCAATCAGAGATAATAAATTCAAAAGTAAGCCACAACTCTGGTAAACAACTTACAGCATCCTCATTTCCTTGCAGTCGGCGCTTTTTCAACTTATGCAACTGCCGGGCGCGTTCAGAAGCGTTGTAAAGCTGTAAATCAGTGTCTCCTTTCTCCATATGTTCGGCTTTGGCTTCTGAGCCTATTCCTTTTTTTTTCAAGGATAACTTTTCCATCCTCGGTTTCTCGTCTTCACTACTTACGGCATCAGACCTGTGAATAGCATAACTAATTAGTCAATGATTTACATCACTGGTTACACCATCATGAATAAAAGCAAAACATATTCAGGCATTCGTTCAAAAAATGCAAAGCAGATTCGTCTGAAAGGTTATAAAACCTGGAAGACAAATGATACAGAGACGATAGCGTATTACTGTGGGTGTCATTACCTTTGCTTCGATTCTTCACGGCTTTTCAGACTAGAGCTCTCTGTTAAGAAAACAATCACAAGTATATTATAATTAGAACCTACAGAAATAACTGGAGAATGGAACAGAGAAAGCTGTATACTATTTTCTGGCAGTACTTGGTACCAAACCCAAAAGCATCAAATCGGTGTTGATAACAAGATAAAACCCCTACGCATAGACATGATTGCTTGATATGACTGAAAATTTGATTATGCAAATCAAGAAGTGCCACAAAATTAATATTTCAGAAAATCAGAATATAGAGAAATGTAAAAAGTAATTACTTTTTTTCTGAGTTGGTACTGCAGGCGTATCTTCCATCTCCTTCCTCCTGCTGAGCACTTGATTTCTCATCTTCGCATCAAATTTAGTCTCATCTTCATCATCATCGTCATCATCACTATGTCCAACTGAATCAGATACAGAGAAACTTTTATCTTTTTGAGCTGCTTCTTTCTTAGTACTCAGAGCTTCTCGTACAGACAATACCTCCTTCGACTCAGATGCATTCTGAAATTTAAAAAAGGCATCAGCAAGTCAAAATTGTTTCTGTAAACAAAAACTGACAACCATGAAAATAAAAACCCTTTAGTTTTCAGTCTAATGCCCATGATAGACTGCTAGGCAGACTAGATAGCAACAAAGATAAAGAGCTGTATGCATCATTACATATAGCAACCATGAGGAATGTCCACTAGTTTTCCACAATCTGGAAGATAAAATAAGTCGCCTTAGTTTTTATATTGAGCTTAGCCTACACTTTCACACACAATAAAGGGAATTTAAAGATAGGAAAAATAAAAGCCACAAAACAAGAAAAATTGTATAATTACCCGTTCTCTATCTGTAGATTCTGCCTTCAAAAGTCGAGGATCATTCAACACGTCATGACTGCTCTTAATCTTTTGCTTTACAACAGCCAGTTCCTTCTCTTCTTCCTCAGCTTCTTCTCCAAATGAAAGTAAATTCAACTTCCTAATCATCACAAAGATAACCGAAAAGAGTCTCAAAAGAACAGCCAAAGCAAAATTATAGCTAAAATTCTCGGCTGACTGTGAACAGTATCTTACTTCACGGGCTTTTTTGGGGGTTCCTTGACTTTGGCAACAGATTCTTGTGATGTCTTTGCTAACACTCTAGGAACAATATCTTCGAACGGGTTCCACAAAACCTATCAAAAGGAAAATATAGGATTTTCAGAAAAACCAAGTATCACAAGACTGACACACCAAAAAATGAGTATCAATCAGAGAACATCATTAAAAAGAGGACATCAACATTGTTGATGGAACGGCATAATAGATTCAGCATTCACAATTCTTACCTCAACAGATAATATTTTCGGGGCAGGATCCAAGGGACGATCATCCTTACTGGTGTCAACCTCTCCTAGCCTTAACAGATTGTAGATTGAATCGCCCGTCACCTAAAAAGAATTAGAAACAAGTTGCAGCTAAACATGATCTAGAAGTAGAAAATAATAATTGGAAAAATCAGAAGAAGCAAATTGTTTACCTTGCCAAAGATAGTATGCTTCTTGTCAAGCCAATCACACTTATCCAAAGTAAAAAAGAACTGACTTCCATTAGAGTTAGGTGAGCTCGCATTAGCCATGGCTACAATCCCTCGGTGGTTAAATCTCAGTCTTGAATGAAACTCATCGGCAAAGACACCTCCATATATACTATCTCCACCTGTTACACATAACTCAAATCATCAATTGACCTAATCCAGCGAGCAAGCAGAAGAGAATTGATAAAAAAAAAAAAATAGAGGTCTTAAACCCTAAAAATAATAAGAGGGAGTAAAAATTACCGGTGCCGGAGCCGGTGGGATCGCCGCCTTGAACGAGAAAACCGGGAATAACACGGTGGAAGATGGTGTTGTCGAAGTAACCCTCGAGGCATAGTTGAACGAAGTTCCGTACGGATTTAGGTGCTTCCTTAGGCCATAGCTCGACGTCGATTGGGCCATGAGTTGTATTCACAATGACCTTTCCCTTCGTCGGTGGCTCTAGCACGTACACCGTCGACATCTCCTCCTCCGTTCACGCTCTTCTTCTTCTGCCCGAGACGCCTTTATGATTTCCCGTTTTGTAGATGGGCTTCGGCGAGAGACGCTGCTCCCTTTTGGACTTTGAGAACATAACATAATATATACGCAAGCCTAACCAATAAGGCCCATTTTCAACATCAAATTGAAGCCCATTAAACCTCCCATAGTCTTCTTTTTTTATCCGTTCGGTCGAAACTCGAAAGGATCAAAATTTTGTAGGTTTGGTAGAACAGAACCGTAAGAAGAATTTCGTAGAAACATCCGCCACGCATCTCTATCACTACGTGGAAGATCAAGAAATAAGAGAAAGTCTTCGAGCTTAGATAGAGTTGAGTGGTACTCTAATGTTTGGAATTTAATAAATTTCTTTAAAAGTCTCCAATTTTTCAAAAGTAATAAAAGATAGTTTCGAGGAAAGTCAATAGTAACAACAAACTAAAACAAATACAATACAACTACATGCACTCCAGACAAACGTGCATGACCCGCCCGCGTCAACAAAACTCACGACAGATTTTTATTAGACCAATCTTTAAATTAAATTAAATGCGTATGTATACCAATTGGCAATTATAGTACATCGATAACATTAACATATATCGTTGGTTATGAACTTGACATAGAATAAACAGTCCGTGTGCATGGTGTGATACGTACACACACACACACACACAAAAGTATTTATTAAATGACAGGTTTAATACTAGCAAACTAACAAATTCTATGCCCATCGTTAACGAGCCCTAAAATCCAATTTATGTTATAATTAACCAGTAGACCGTAGACAAATTAGTTATAATAATATAATTATCAAAACTTATTTTTTCCATTAGTTTTATAAATTTTGGACGTACAACATATCCATGTAAATAAAACCCAAAAGTAAATCCTTATCACGTTTTTAACAAAATAAATCTCTTACTATCTTGTATGACCTGAATTGTCTATTTAAATATACGATGTTGAATTATAGATTGAAATTTTTAAAGATATATAAAAACTCGATTGTATAAAAACTCGATGTTAAATTATAGTCTCATAAACTCTGCGTCTGATAAAAAAATTTATGTATTTATAAACATTATTTATGATAGACAGGTTTTTGACAAAAGAAAGGACACACTGAATTGATTTCAACATTTCTAAGATAGAATAGACATGTTTATTATAGAATAATGATATTGGACGATTCGCATATTGACAACCTTGACTTCTTTCTTTGAGCCGCTTGACTTTTGGATGAAGTATTGCATGCGCGCCATAAATGTAATTTAATTAAACCCTAGTTCAATTCATTCTAAATCTTCTTCTTTTTGATATAGACTTTGTGTACTTAGTAGTAGTGTATTTGTGTGTAAAGATTTAACAGAGGCTTGTTTTCACACAGATGTTAAAAACCTTATTGCAACCTTCACATCTATATATGTCTACATACTACCGAAGATTTTTTCACACAAAAGTTATCAAAATGTAAAACTTTTTCGTATAAGTGTTGTATGTGTATTGTCCTAATCTCAATAACTTCCCTGAACTTTACCTTCGTCAGCCTCCATCTCTTATGGGGCTCCCCACCCCCACGTACTCTGTTTTCTAGCTAGCCTCCTCTCACTGTTTTTGTCTCTTTTCTTTAATATTCAACATTTTTTCATACACGCCAACTTTGAATATTCAGTAATATTTTTTTCCATATTCAACGATTTGTAAAAACGAAGACTTCTTATTATACTCTCTTCTTTATAGTCTTCGACTCCTCCTCACACTACTCTTACATATATATATATATATAGAAGACCACTTCAACCTATGTTGATCACATACATTCATATCCCTCGTTTGATTCATTTTTTTCCAAAGAATATATAAATCATTCTTTTATTCTTTATTCTTTCAAGCTCCTCTCTGTTTTCTTGGTGCCATTTATTGTGTTTGATGCCCACAAGGTATTTATTTCTCTAAATTTTTGTTTTTCACCAATAATTAGTTGGTATAGAGCTATACTCATGCGATTGTTTAATTTTGTCTTTAGAGAGTTGTCGTTGGTAAAAGTCTGATACTGATCTGGATTGATGTGTGTGTGTGCAGGGGATTTCAATATTAAATTTATAGTTTTTGGAATTATCCTTTTCCTTTCATTATATTTGTGTGGCCATGGGTCTTGAAGTTGGGTGCTTAAGCTTCAAACTCAAAGACGGAGGCTTGACATCAAGAACCAACAGTTTCAACGCTATTGGTTCTACGCATCAGAATTCTCCTAAGATCACTATGGAGCGGTCGTTGAGTTTCAACAGCTGGGAGGTTCCTAAAGAGACCAAGACTGATTCAGATTTTGAGGCCTTGGAGACAAAGAAGTCAACTCCTAACACTTTGAATGGACGAAACTGTGAGAGAATCCAAATAAAGAAACCGACAGTTACTCCACCTGAGCCTTTCGTGTTCTTCTCCCCTAGACCGGTCACCGAGCTTGATGCAGCTGCAACTACCCTACAAAAGGTGTATAAGAGTTACCGGACAAGAAGGAACCTAGCAGATTGTGCAGTCGTTGTTGAGGAGCTCTGGTGAGTTACTTGGTTGATCTTAATTAGCTTCCTCTTTTTGATGTCTTTTAAGGATGTTTACACTAACTCTTAACTGGTATTGTTTGTAATGTTGTAGGTGGAAGACTTTGGATGGTGCAGCTCTGGATTTGAGCTCTGTGTCTTTCTTTGAAGAAGAAAAACGCGAGACCGCTGTTTCGAAATGGGCACGAGCTAGAACAAGAGCTGCTAAGGTCTGACATCATGATCTATCTATGTTTACTTTTAAGTCAAGGAGTTTTCAGTAGATCTATATATCTCTTTATATTATAAAAAAAACCAATGTGGGTTGTCACTGTTTTTAGGTTGGGAAAGGCTTATCAAAAGATGAAAAGGCTCAGAAATTAGCGCTTCAGCACTGGCTAGAAGCTGTAAGTTCCCATGACTTATAATCTTTATGAGTTTTAATCAATGACAAGTATATGCTATGGTTTGTGGAATAAACAAATATATGGGTTTAGGTGCAAAACACAAGATCAAAAGTTATCAGCTCCTTTTTGATGATTTGGTTAGATTCATATTCTAACTGTTCCCCTCTTGAATATACAGATTGACCCACGTCATCGTTATGGCCACAACTTGCATTTCTATTACGAGGTCTGGTCAGAGAGCAAGAGCTCACAGCCATTCTTTTACTGGTAAGGACTCAGATCCAAAATTCCATCAATAGATCTTCCTCTGTTTGAATCTGTTCTAAACTCTGTTTCCCCTGATTTGAAACTAAAGGTTGGATATAGGAGACGGCAAAGATGTAAATCTTGAGAAACACCCAAGAAGTGTTCTGCAAAAACAGTGCATCAGTTACCTAGGACCTGTGAGTTTTTGTTCTTAATCTGATTTGACTCGATTAACTACTACTTAGCTAGCTCTGCCTTGTTGATTACTCATCAACGTCTGTGTTTTTTTCTTTGAAATCTGCAGATGGAGAGAGAAGCATATGAAGTGATAGTGGAAGATGGGAGACTAATGTATAAACACAGCATGACTCTGATCAATTCAACAGAGGAATCCAAGTCGATTTTTGTACTCAGCACGACTAGAACCTTGTACGTAGGGATTAAAAAAAAAGGCCGTTTCCAGCATTCAAGTTTCTTATCAGGAGGCGCCACTACAGCTGCAGGAAGATTGGTCGCTCGTGATGGGATCCTTGAGGTACTTAGATTATCTGTCTTGCTTTCTCCCTCGGGAATGAATCTCTTAATATGTTATATGTAAACTAAAAGGTCTCACTCACCTTTTCTTTTCTCAGGCTATATGGCCATACAGTGGACACTATCTCCCAACAGAAGACAACTTCAAGGAGTTCATAAGTTTCTTAGAGGAGCACAATGTTGATCTCACGAATGTTAAGGTAACGAAATAAAAGAATCATATACAGCAAACATTCATCAGCTCTAGGTATTTAGAGAATGTTGTATTCATGAGACTAAATTTGATTTACAGAGATGCTCTGTGAATGAGGAGTATTCGTCATTCAAATCCACTGCGGACGAAGAGGAAGGACCAAAAGAGAACTCAGAAGAAGTTGAGATGCCTACAGAGCAAGAAGAGAGAGCGAGACCAGTGTTTGATCCTGTAAAGAGACTGTCCTGCAAATGGACAAGTGGATATGGTCCAAGAATTGGGTGTGTTAGAGATTACCCAATGGAGCTGCAAGCACAAGCACTTGAGCAAGTTAGCCTCTCTCCTCGGAGTTCGCCAGCTAATTCTTATGGACCAATTCCATCTCCGAGGCCTAGTCCTAAAGTGAGAGTGTCTCCACGCTTAGCATACATGGGGATCCCAAGCCCTAGGGCTGTTAAGTGTTGAAATTTAAAACACACCTTTTAACTTGCGCTCCAAGAAACTGAGAAAGGGTGAGGTTAGAGGAGAAGAGAAACTGACCGACCTCCATTTTTCTTTCTTTTGTATTTTTCTCGAATTTGCAACATTTTGTTGCTTCTCTTGATATATTCTCTTGTTAGATCATAAAACAGTCGACTTGTGGCCCGTTTAGATCATTTGGTTCAATTGATCGTTTGTAAAGTTTCAAAACGTTAATTTATTTTAATCAATTGGCGATTAAAAAATAACTACAATTAATTTCTTTTAAAACAATAACACTTGTACAAAAAATTTAGAACCAAAATTGATTTCCTTTGTTGTGTATAGAATTTTACGTGATGAGGGAAACATTTTGAGCCTATAATAGAATAATTAAGTAATAATTAAATAATGTACATTCCCTGTATTATCGTATATATTTTTTTTTTTTTACTTTCCCCTTATTCGTCGACGTCTTTCCTTTGTTTCATTAAACTACGTTATGAAGACAATGTTACTTTCCTTTTAACAAAAATAATCACTTTCCCTAATACATTTTTCACGCACCTTCCTCGTATTATATAAATGAAAAGATGGGAATGGGAGAGTAACTTGTCTTCGCTATGGGGTCGGACGTCGCAGGCGGCATGGAACTACCGTTTGATGTAGAAATTGAGATCTTGCTGAGACTCCCAGTGCAACCTCTGCGTCGATTAGAACTGGTTTCAAAACAATGGAGAAGTTTGATAAGATGTCGAGATTTCATGGAACGGCACTTGGCTCATCAGAAATCCAAACACCGTTTCACGATCCTTGCTAATGTCATGGTCAGGGACCAGTTCGCTAGTAAGGTTCCCAGGGAAGCTGGATTGTTCCGTAACTTCTGTTCATCAGACGGTGATCCAGGATTTTCCTATGTGCGCCTGCTTCAAAATAACGACCGTGTTGCTCCTGCTCTCTCATGCGACGGTTTCATCTGCTGTCCGAGACCAGGTAACAAGTTTCTGTTTATAAATCGGGCGACTCGCCAGATTATCCAAGCCGAACAACCTCTCTGTCACCGTCCACTGACATTTGAAAGTCATGTAACTTTACCCTTCGACAGAGTGCATCTTATTTATCACTACTCGTGTACGTAACATATATATATATATATGCATGCCTTCGTTTTTTTCTTTTCAAAATAATTAAAACTGTTGGAGTTGACATTTAATTATCTTACAATGATTCAGAAAGAGTTCTATTTTCATCTTTAATATAGCTAATTAATTAAGATTAATGTACTTGCATGCAATATTATTGTCGTAATGGAGTATTATTTAATTCTTATATGCAGTTAATCGTCTTCAGTTTCCTATACCGTCACTACAAAAAACTAGGGCTACTATGACGTAATTTTAGACGAAAATTATTTGTCACTAGTTTGGGACGATTTAGTAACGAAGTTGTGACTATATTGTTTTGTCACATAATTGTAGGTAATTTGTCGCAAAATTATGACTGATTAGATCATGACTAAATTTTGTAACAATTTGTAACATAAATATGACGATAATTTATATCGTAAAATTAAGTCAATTTGTTACTAGTGTGTAGTTGTTAATTAGATACGGACTTATGACTAACCTGTGAGTTAGAGTTTGTGACAGTATACATACTAAATGGTTGTCACAATTTAGAGGAAAAGTATTGCTTACTGAAAATTTAGATTTTACTCCGATGCAAAGTGAAACAGCTGATCCAATTGTTTCCGATGATTCGTTACAAGTCGAGACACTGGCACATCTTCATGGTGAAGCAGAACATCTTCATGATATGGAAGTTGACACGGAAGTCGGATCAGACAACGAAGATGGAGATTCAAATATCGATATAACAGATGAAGAATCTGACTAGTTTTATAGTTTGGTTTTAATTTATTTTATGTCGTGTTCGTACGTCTGGACTTTGTGAGCACATTGTTGCTCCTTCCTTAAGACTTTGTGAGCACATTATTGCTCCTTCCTTAAGACTTTGTGGTTTCTGTTTCTGGTTCAGTAAAGCCTCTCCTCTTTTTTTAGGTCCGAACCCTTTTCTTAATCCGTCTGAAAGATCCAAATTTTACCTCTTTCTGTTCTTTCTAAAGTAACATGATGTCCTGTGTAAGACGTTAATATTTTATGATACACCACTCTTCCACCTCCTGCATATTGAGTTCTCTTGAACGTAGGAACTAAAAAGTTAAAACTTGTCTTCGTTCCAAAGCTAAAGGTAAAACAACGTTGTTTTTCCACAAGCACCAATTTTAGATATTTTAAACTTTATTGTGTCCCCTTTTTGTTTTTCCTTTTTGGCAAACACCACAATGTACAAACAAACGATTAAACAAATTAAATTCTTTGAAGTGGTTGATCACCTGCAACTTTTTTCAAAGGCATTACAAAATATATTAAATAATGACAACTCTAGTTAAAATATTAGGAAATTAAGAAGCCTTGTTGATGTGTATACATCGTATACACAAATTATTGACTAAAACAGAGTAAGAACAATTTAGTGTTTGAATGAGTTGGTAAATCTAACCAAAAACGCATAACTAAAAAAAAATTCTTAAAGCTTCACGAAATCATTTCTTAAAATATTTGGGAAGATAAATCTCAGCATCTCCCGTTTAACTTCTTCTATTGTATGTTTAGCATCTCCATCGTCGTAATACCGGGTGTTCATCAGATCGAAACTACGAGTGGTGCTTGAAGTTAAATGCTTCTTTTCTTTTCCTTTCGTTACTTCATTGGGATGAACCTCATCTTCCTCATAATACGGTTTGTTTAGATCAAATTTGTGAGGATTTGTCTTGCTGATGGGATGAACATCCTGTGATTTGCTTTCACTTTGTTGCATTTTAGGTTTCAGATTTTTGTTCTATGAAAAAATTTGATTGCGTAGATATTTAATGAATCTATAAGATGAAAAGTTAACAAACTAACGATGGAGTAGCTTTAGGTTTATATAATATGTTGACCAAAATCTTTTAGATTATTGTTAGATTAAAATATTGCAAGCAAAAGTTAGATTATATTATCAATCACTAAGATTTTTATTAAAGTCGAGAGCTATATTTTCTTAATAACAGTCAAGATACGTAGGTGTTAATTCTATATGATGACTAAGGGGGTGTTATTGGATTAAGGATTTTGTAGTTTTTTAATGTATTTGTATTTGAAGTACTTTTTGATGGATTACGATGGATTTAATATATTTTAGGAAGATTTCGTTGTATTTCATTGTATTGTTTTTTTTCCTTTGGATATCCTAAAAAGAAAAACAATATAGATGAACAAAATCAACAAAAAAAAAAAATATTAACTGCTTTATCATCTTTGTTTCAAAATTTTTTTTTTTTTATTGAGTTTGTCGAATCTGTTTTCAAAATAGTATTTTGCTTTTAAAAACTCAATTGCTGAGAAATGCAAATTTTCACAAATTGCACATGAAGAAAAACGATTTTTCATCCATAATTCTCTGGATAAATCCCAAAAATTAATTCAAACGGTGAAATCTCATGTGATGGTGGTGTGGGTTTGCTGGGGAGGATAATAGTTCTACTTGATGCCAATGGATTCTCAAGAAATTGAGTAGAATGAGTTGGGGGGTTTGAGATCTCTTAACTCTCTCGTTTGAGCCTTGGAGAAGTGGTTGAAGGTTTCAGTGGAAGTGATGATAATGGTGGAGAAGATGGTTAACGTGATCTGAAAAAATGCTTTTTCATTTATTTATTATTTTATATGGAATACATCAAAATACTTATCAAAACTCTCGGATTTTAGTTACTCATGCTTTAGTTAAAAAAGTACATTAAAATCCACTTGAAATGAAATCCATCAAAATCTAATAGAAATTGAATAACACCTGATTTTAAAGTATTTTTTAAAATACACGATTGAATAACACCTGATTTTATAATACATCCAATTCTTTTAAAATCCTTAATCCAATAACACCCCCTAAGCCACTATTATAGGAATTTAGTTTTTAGGTGACGTAAATAAATAGTTGGACGCTGGAATTTATTTGAGAAGATATAGATTTAGTAAATTGCGGTAAAATTACCCGGTAAAAAACATAAAAATTTTTGGTAGTGACTAAATGAGATTGCAAAAACGTCACAAATACCCTAGAAATTATTTAAGTATATAAAGCGTCAAAACTAACAAACCTCCTCTCACGTTTTACCCTAAAAATAGATCACCGCAAAAGTTGAGGCATTACTTCCTCTCCCACCAGTTCCTCATTTTGATCTCGCCGTTGTCCAGAACGGTGTGGTTTTTAGTGTTTTTCTTCATTGTCCACTCCACAACTACGATCATTCCAAGGTTTGAATACTATTGTTAATTTTTGGGATTTTGATTTTGCTTCAATCGGTTGATTTCTTATTCATGTACAAAATCTCATAAACATACATATTTATAACTACAATCTAAATTCTAGAGTATGCATATTTTTTGCTTTTTTAAATCAGAAACGGAACTGATTTTGAAGGTCCATAATTTACACGATTCTATGATTCTAACTCAATAGGTTGATAATCTAACATTCAATATTGATGTACATGTCAATATTTGCTGTCTGATAGAAGTCTTACTTTATAGTTTAATGTGCAAAGTTAGATAAACAGAAGCCACAATATTATTTTATTGATATACGACACAATATTATCTTATTGACTGTTTGTTTATTTTGAAAGTTATGACTAGATACTATACCATTTATTGAAAATAATTTAATGTCCAAACTTAGATGAACGGAAGATCAGTTTGTATAATTTTATATTTTTATATTGTGGTTAAATCATGAATAAATCGTGACCCATCTTATACTTCTTTCCAATCGTAGATGCGTCCACCAGTCATCATAGGCGGCCGTCGGTATGAGAGAGTAACAAATCCTCAGCCTGCTGGTGTTCAAAGACCTCTTTCTCGTGATCCAAATGCTGAACCAAGTGAACAGAGAGAAGAACTTGGACATGTTCAACGTAATGTCCGTGTGCTCCACCCATCTCGAAGGAATGGAGCTAAATGGTAATGAGTTTTTTTTTTCATAAATTATTTTATTTAATAAACTATAAATGTAAATAATTAAAGTACACTTGTAACAGGTTCAAAAACAACACTGAAGTATCAACACGTATTAGAAAAATTATTGAAGGGTGTTTTAATGGACCATGGTACAGCTGGAAAAAAGTTCCAACATTTTATAAAGATGCATGGTTTTCAACTTTTAAGGTTTGATCTAATTGTATATCTATATCATATTTTTAAAATTTATTTTTATAATTTATAAATATTTATAATTTGTATTCTAGACATGGTTTGAGTGGGATAGTTCAATTGATCATCTAGTGAAAGCAAACTTTGAGGCACTTGCTGGTGCACGCCTTAGAGGGATGTTTAGCCTTGCAAAGTCAAAAGGTGAACAACCTGAATGGATTTTAGGTGATCATTGGAGAACAATGGTAGGTCATTGGAGGACTCCAAAAGCAAAAGATAAAAGCCAGAAAGCACGTGCTGCTCGGCTATTTAGCCGTGATGGTTTAGGTCCACACTGTCACAGATCTAGATCACGTTCTTATGCCAAAGTGCAAGATACTTTGGTAACCTTTGCTTTTGGCAGTGTTTCTATTTTATTTAAAATTTTGAAAATGTTATTAACTATGCTTATTTTTTATAGGAAGCAAACAATGAAGATTCATCCTTCATTGCGGTGATGAAAAAGACACACCAAAAAGCGGATGGAACATATGTTGACGAAAGAGCAAGAGTAATTGCAGAAAAATATGATGAACAAGTTCAAGAACGCTTGGCAGACATGGAGCTTTCTAATCAAGAGATTTTGACAATGAATCCCCTTACCATAGAGGAGAAAAATGAAATCTACATTCAGCTAATTTTTTAATATCTTACACTTTTTTGTTGTAAAAATAATACTTAATTCCACTGTTTTTTTAGCAGCTTTGAGGGACTTTTTATTGTCCAAATGGTTTTATATTAAGTACATTTTGTGTTTTAAAAATATGGCATTGCTCATGCACTTGTAGGTTGCTGGAATTTCAAAACAAGGCCGTGTATTTGGACTTGGTTTGCTTCAAAATCGGATTACTATGTCTGTAGATGGTGCTGCGGTTCCCACTCAAACTACCGGAGAAGTGGAAACAATAAGTCTCCGAGTAGAAGAGCTGGAAACTGAACTGCAAAAGAGTCGTAATGAGAATGAGCTTGTTCAACAACGACTTCAAACTATGGAGCAAATGGTCCAATCTCTTGTTTGTCAAAATGGGATAAATTCAGTTGCTTCTACATCTCCACTATCTCTTGTAGGTCTGAATGGGATGAGTTCAGCATCTGCTTCTAATCCACCTTCAGGATACTCGCCTTTAGGATACTCACCTTCTCCACAAGCTTTCATGGGTTTTAGGTCCTTTGCTCGTACCACATAAGTTTACATTTGTTATGTTCGCTTCTGTTATTTCTACAACTTAAGTTTATTTGCTTCTGCTTTTCTTTCCTTTTTTTTTGTTTTAAAGACATGTCTACGTTTGCTTTATTAAGTAAGTTTGTTTCTTTGACTTTTAATTCTTTATTTGGAGTTTCTTTTATTTGTCTAATATTTTAATTTTATTTATGATAGAGAAAACAGTTTAGTAGAGAATAATGATAAATAGACAACGAAACTGTAATAAATAAATAATATTCAAGATCACGAAGTTGGAATATCAGTAACGTCTTTTGTAGTCATCACTTATGACGATGTGATACTATAGTTCTGTCTTAATTCGTGACGTTTGTGTAATGTTATAAACGTCGCAAACAGAAACATTTTTGAGATGATGTTATTAGTTACTAATTAAGACATATAAGTGACCATTCTTTAGTAGTTTACTGTGATGATCGGTGACTACTAATTTGTTAGAAGTAGTTACAAAATTGTCACTTTATGATAGTAACTAAATATGTCAATTTTAAGACAATTTTTTTTGTCGAAATTAATGACTGTTTTGTAACAATCACGATTAGCAACAAAATGTGACGAAACAGAGACTATATAATCACGTCGTAATATTGTGACGGTTTTGATACTAATTTTTTTTGGTGACGAATTTATTGCAACAGATTAAATTTGTCTTATATTCGTCTTAATATATATATTGTTACGAAACTCTACACATTGTGACGATAATTTTTGTCTCAATATAATGTTTTTTTTGTAGTGCGTGGTTTAGCTTGTTAGGATTTGGGAGAGACAGAGTGAGCGGAGATTACAAACTTGTTAGGTTATTCGAACCGCCTGGGGAGAGTACGCTATGCACAGGATGCGAGCTCCTTTCGCTCAAGGAAAGGAAATGGAGATACATTAGCCTTATTCCTATACCTTGCTTTAATGGGCAAGATTCAGCGAGCGTTAACGGATCCATCTATTGGTTCACGGCTTATCTATGGGAAACGGATGCAAAGTATTCGAAAACGGCCAAGATTATAGCATTTGATCTTCACACACACAGATTCCGTGCAGTCCATCACCATCCTTTCGGTGCAAGAAAACCCTCCTTCGTAATTCATCTGGTGAACCTTAGGGATCAAGTATGGATCGTAGAACAACAACCTTTCTCTTTGGACATGTGGAGCATGGATAGAGGAGGAGGAGACGCATGGGAAAAATTGTATTCAATTGATCGAACAAGCCTTATTGCAAGGGCTGATTTGGGGGAGAGGCTTATGCCAATTGAAATCTGCGGCGACGGAAAGGTGTTGATTAAAGGTAAGAAACTAAATGAGACAAATCATAGGGGATTCAGAGAAAGGTTGCTCAAATATGATCCTCGTACTAAAACTTTGCTTCTCAGCGACCGTCAAGTTTGTGCCAATGACCCGCCCTACTTCCAAACTCGTGTCCTTGCTCCCTACTACCACTCTCTCTTCTCTTTAGATGCACTTTAATTCCTAATTAGCCTTTTTTTCCTTTTTTGTAACACTCTAGATCATCTTCTCTTCTTTCCTATACTTTTATTAAATTTTCTTGTTTCTCTTATTACACTATATATGGTCATTTTATTTACATTTCAAGCTGATGAGAAATAGTTTGTCTCTTATATCTTTCTTTTGATTATATTTTTTTTTCTGCATATGTCCCTACATACATCATATTTTTGGACGGATCCGGATCCAAAAAACTCATATACTAAGGTAACATGTCCGTAAGACATATTTTAACTTGTACTCCAAGAAAGGGTGAGGTTTAGAGGAGAGAGACACTGACCTCCATTTTTCTTTCTTTAATTTGTATATTTCTCGAATTTCAACGAATACTTCTCTTCATATAATCTCTTGTTAGATCATAAAAAGTCGACTTGTGGCCCTCCCCGTTTCAGATCATTTGGTTCAATTGATCGTTAATTTGATATCTTTTTATTTTTAGTAAAGTTTCAAAACGTTAATTATCTTTAGTTAAGTAGCGATTACAAAATAATTGCAACTTCTTAATTAAGTCTTTTAATAGCAATAACACTGGTACTGTAGAAGTATTTTAGAACCAATGTTACTTTCCTCTGTTGGATATAGAATTTCCGTGATTAGGGAAACATTTTGAGCCCATAATAGAAAAATTCAGTAAAAATTAAATAATGTACATTCCCTGTATTACTCTGTTCTACCGTATTTATTTACTTTCCCCTTATTGATCGACGTCTTTCCTTTGTTTCAGTAAACTACGTTATGGAGACAATGTTACTTTCCTTTTAACAAAAATAATCACTTTCCCTAATACATATTTTGACGGTTCTTCCTCGTATTATATAAATGAAAAGATGGGAATGGGAGAGTAACTTAGCTATGAGGTCGGACGTCGCAGGCGGCATGGAACTACCGTTGGATGTAGAAATCGAGATCTTGCTGAGACTCCCAGTGCAACCTCTGCGTCGATTAGAACTGGTTTCAAAACAATGGAGAAGTTTGATAAGATGTCGAAGTTTCATGGAACGGCACTTGGCTGATCAGAAATCCAAACACCGTTTCACGATCCTTGCTAATGTCATGGTCAGGGACCAGTTCGCTAGTAAGATTTCCAGGGAAACTGGATTGTTCCGTAACTTCTGTTCATCAGACGGTGATCCAGGATTTTCCTATGTGCGGCTGCTTCAAAATAACGACGGTGGTGCTCCTTCTCTCTCGTGCGACGGTTTCATCTGCTGTCCGAGACCAGGTAACAAGTTTCTGTTTATAAATCGGGCGACTCCCCAAATTATCGCGATCCAAGCCGAACAACAACCTCTCTGTCACCGTCCACTGACATTTGAAAGTCGTGTAACTTTACCCTTCGACAGAGTACATCTTCTTTATCACAAGTCGCGTACGTAACATATACTCATCCCTTGGTTTATTTTTATTCTTTTTCACAAGAATTAAAACTGTTGGAGTTGACATTTAATTATCTAACAATATATGATTCAGAAGAGTTCTATTTTCTTCTTTTAATATAGCTAAGATTAATGTACTTGCATGCATGGAATATTATTGTCGTAATGTAACTTGTATTTTTATATTTCTTACGTGCAGGTAATCTTGCTCAATTTCCTAATCCGTGCTTTAGCTTGTTGGGGTTTGGGAGAGACAGAGTGAGCGGAGATTACAAACTTGTTAGGTTATTTGAACCGCCTGGGGAGAGTACGCTATGCACAGGATGCGAGCTTCTTTCGCTCAAGGAAAGGAAATGGAGATACATTAGCCATGTCCCTATACCTTGCTTTAATGGGCAACCTTCAGCGAGCGTTGACGGATCCATCTATTGGTTCACCGCTTATCTATGGGAAATGAATGCAAAGTATTCAAAAACGGCCAAGATCATAGCATTTGATCTTCACACACGCAGATTCCGTGCAGTCCATCACCATCCTTTCGGTGCAAGAAAACCCTCCTTCGTGATTCATCTGGTGAACCTTAGGGATCAAGTATGGATCGTAGAACAACAACGTAGCTCTTTGGAGATGTGGAGCATGGTTAGAGGAGGAGACGACGCATGGGGAAAAATGTATTCAATTGATATAACAAGCCTTATTGCAATTAGGGATAATTGGGGGGAGCGCCTTATGCCAGTTGAAATCTGCGGCGACGGAAGGGTGTTGATTAAGGGTAAGAAATCATATGAGACAAATCATAGGGATTTCAGAGAAAGGTTGCTCAAATATGATCCTCGTACTAAAACTTTGCTTCTCAACGACCGTCAAGTTTGTGCCAATGACTCGCCCTACTTCCAAACTTGTGTCCTTGCTCCCTACTACCACTCTCTCTTCTCTTTAGATGCACTTTAATTCCTTATTAGCCTTTTTGCTTTTTTGATGCAACTTTATTAGTAGCACTCTAGATCATCTTCTCTTCTTTCCTATACTTTTATTAATTTTTCTTGTTTCTCTTATTACACTATATATGGTTATTTTATTTACATTTCAAACTGATGCGAAATAGTTTGTCCCTTATATCTTTCTTTTGATTATATATTTTTAACTTTAACAAGAAAAGTCCCTACATACATCATACTTTTGGACGGATCCGGATCCAAAAATCTCATATACTAAGGTATCATGTCCGTATGATATATCCTGGCTGGATTGAAATCTCCTCTACCCAAGTTTTTCTATATATAGTTCAAATCTGACACCTAAACTTGCTAAAAGTATAGAAAAATAATATGTAATTACATTAACCTCTATTATGATTAACACTAGCATATTTAGTTAGTCAGTTAGGGGAGAACCCTGTGGGTAGGTGTAAATGCAGCTAAGTATACAAATCTTTCTGAAACGCACTAACATTTTTTTCGAATCATTGACAAAGATTCGTTTATTTTTATTTCTATGGGAATATATATGGATGGAAATGGAATCTTACATATAGAATCTTAGGACATAATGTTTTAGGTGAGACCAATATAAAAAGAAAAAAAGAAATACGTCATGATCCTGGTGGACATTATAAAAAAGAGTCGATCGAAGAGATCACAACAAAAGAAAATGGATCCACCGAAGGAAAAAAATTCAAGAAAATTTAAATAAACTCGTTAATTATTAATACTTTTTCTCGCTACAATTATAAAATAAAAGATGGGCTTACGTGAGCACATGTGGCAGACACGAAGTTGAAGACAACACCATCGACGGTACTCCTAATTAACACCACATCTCTTCTTCTTCTTCTTCTAAAGTCCGTTTCAATTTGGGCTCCATTTCTTCTATTTCCACACTACACCATTCATGCCTTTGCCCTTTTCTCTATTTTGGAGTACTAACTTATTTTTTCACAAAAATTTCCACATCTCTTTTTTTAAATTGCATAGTGTACTTTCATTTATACATCATCAAATATTATAATTCTTCTTAAAAAGTATACTTGATCTTTGATCATGTTGAGTGTGGTGCACTTTCATATTTCAGCCAACATTTTTTTTTATAAATTTTAAGTGACTAAAGCAAGACAAAAGGTTCCAAAAAAACTCACATTTGTTTAGTAAAAGTAACTTGTACCAATTTTTCAGATGTTTTTTGAGCTTTTTTTAAAATAAAAATGAAAAATATATATTAAAACCACAAGTTAAATACGAGACTTAGTTTTGTCTAATACCGTCTACTTTACTTTTATTTATTTAGTTATTAGTTTATAAAATTGCTCACAAGAGGGAACACTTAATTATATTGTCGAATGGGAGACACATCTGCCACCCTTAAAAAAATAAATCTAATCAACTCTGTGAGATTTTTTCTCTGTGAGTTTATTCAATTTGGATGATAAAACGGATTCGTAACTCTTTGTGAATATTATTAATTCTTGTCGTGTTTTCAAGAGAATTTATCAATTTGAACTCAAATGGTGAGTAATTCCACTTAAAGACGAAAGTGGACTTAGCAGTTTTGTTTGGAGACAACATACTACATAGTCTCAACAAGCAGCTTCGTAATGTGAATCGTTAACAACAGAATCTCAAACTAAGAAGCCTTGGGATTAATTGGTTCAATTATTTTCATCTATATATTTTTAATATCATATATAATATGATAACATAAATGTATGATGCTTTGTCATAATAGCAAAAGTGTTAAGCTACAAGAATATGCAATAACACACAAACAAGAAAATAAACATCCTTTTTATAAATAAAAGAATCACAGTTTTTTTTTTTGTTTTTGTCACTCAGATACAAGTATAAATTATAAAAGGAGTGGCCAATCAAATTTTGTTTTCGCTTTAGAAATTTTTATTCTTCTTTACCTCATTGGGTAAATGACATATAAAAATATAAAATTGACAACAACGCTCTTATGTAAAGCAAAACAAACAATTGCAACTCAATAAAAACTGATCGCTATCATAATATAAAACTTAATCAACCAATCTTGTACGACGGCAAATTAATTATACAGATTTAAATCTCTTAATTAATAAACCCCTTTTCAATTTCTTTTCGTGTTTTCTATGACAAGTTGTGGGATCGATGATACCCCCCTAATACATAATAATTGATATGTGCTTTAATTAACGTTCTTGCAAGCGTAATTAGCTTAGCCTTTAACTTATACGCACGTGATCCTTAATTTTCGTCTGGTTGAGTAGTTACAACACTTGTTCATTACACTTAGGCAAGGGCGTGGATCACAAAGCTATTAACTTGGTCCGCCACAACGCTGATCGATCGTGACTCCCCCCCATAGATGATCAAAATTTAAAAACGCATTACGAATGTACGTATGTTATAACAGCTGACAAGTTTTATGTGCGCTTTCAATATGAATGATTTTTAAAAATTTTAATACCCTCTAACCGACTTTTACCAGTTCCATATTATATCTCTATAGGCGTATACATTTGTTGCCATGTGCAATGTGATTTTAGTACGTAGACTCAGTTTCTATATGCATATATGCTAATTAAACTATACATCACACTAGAACATATGTGTTTCTACGATCTAGCTAGACCTTTATAACAAAAAAAAATATAAACCATGTGCTCTCATCCTCTTTGCATTGGCTTAGAACTAGCCTACTAGGTAGGTATAAGTGTATACAAATTATGTGTTAAAACCGGTTAGCTTTGTTAATTTTTTACACGTATTAGAATAATTAGATATGTCAAACATATTTTGTTTGTTACATATGTTACATATTATATTATATCGTAAACTATAAAATTTTAGTTTTTGATTTTGTATTTAAACTAACTGAATTTTGTGTAAGGTAATTAAAAATAAGTGTACAAATACATACAACGGTAATATTCTTATAAATTATTTAGTTTTCTTAGATAAAAAGAAAAGAAAGAAAGAAAAAATATTCTCCAGACATGATGCGAGTAAGACGTCGTCCTAACTCCTAACACTATTACATATTTGCTCCAAATTGTGATTTCTCTCTACTCTTTTTTAGAAAATTATTTTCATTCCATTCCTCATTTCCTTTACATGAAAAGGTCAACATCGGCAATAAAATCCAGCGCGTCGGTTTTGGAATTCCCATGCAATTTAACTCACTGATGAGAGTCATCAGTATGAACAAATTTTTCATACATAAAAAAAAAAAAATTGTAGTATGATGGGAAAAATAATAATAATAATACGAAAAAAGCAAAAGGAAGACATCACACGAGACAGTACTTTGTGAGGTAAGCAAACACATACAACACCACTCCCTTCTCCCCCATTATTTGTCCTTTTCTTTTCCTTTCTTCAATAATTCTCTTCTTCTTCTTCTTCTTTTCTTCTTCTTATTCTTTTATTTAAAAAAAATTCCCCTAAATTTTACTACGATTCTTTTTTTTTGTTTTTTTTTTTGTATTTAAAGAAACTCCCTTTGCTTTTTGATTCTTTCTATATATATACAAATACAAAATCTCCTCTTCTTCTTGAAAAAAGCTCTCTTTTACATTTCTCTCTTTCTCTCTAGTTTGCTTTTGCGCCTATGATGCAAGAATTAGGCTTAGAACGCTTCCCTAACGACGACGTCGTTCGCTTAGACCTCTTCACTCCTCCTTCTCAATCCTCGTCTACCTCTCTCTCCATCGACGAAGAGGAATCTACGGAAGCCAAGATCCGACGGCTCATATCCGAGCATCCTGTCATCATCTTCAGTAGATCTTCATGTTGCATGTGCCACGTCATGAAAAGACTCTTGGCCACCATCGGCGTCATCCCCACCGTCATCGAGCTTGATGACCACGAGGTCTCCTCTCTCCCCACCGCTCTTGATCAAGAAGAATATTCCGGCGGTGCCTCCGTCGTTGTTCCTCCGCCGTCGGTTTTTATTGGCCGTGAGTGCATCGGAGGTCTCGAGTCCCTCGTCGCCCTCCACCTAAGTGGTCATCTTGTTCCTAAGCTTGTCCAAGTTGGTGCTCTTTGGGTATGATTGTAATTTTCCATCTTTTTCTTATAATTATTACTTGTCCTAATTTGAAATATAGGCTTTTGCAGTATCAAAAAAAATAATAAAAAAAATTAGGGTTTCTCTTCAATCGCTCGTCATCAAAGCGTAATTCTGATCATTATGATCATCATATCAGATGATCAAAATTTAAATAGCCATGTAGAAAAATGAATTATGAATAATTAAGTAAAGATGTGTAAGTAGTGAGTTTTATATAATTTTGCTTCTTCATTAATTGTGTGTCTCTCTCTTTTTGATAAAGTATGATGAATCCATCAACCTCATTAATTATGTGAATTAGACTGATTAGGACTATACTAAACTATGATTTAGTTGCGTATATATATCTGCTGATTGAAACTTATTTATTCGTTCTTTTTTTACACTATTTGACTGAGAGATATTCCAATCATAAGTGTAAAATGATCTACCATTTCAGTTCAAAAATCTTGTATATATACTGCAATTGGTAATATTGTTTTCTTTCTTCTTCTTATTATGATATATAGGATTTGGATAGTTCTTATGAGTAGTGCGTGGTGACTTTAATCGGGGCTTATGAGTAATTTATCATTTCTTTGGTAAAGACTTATAACGACATCTTTGTAAATCATACGTTGGTAATATGAATACGTTTGTATGGATTTCAAAGTTAAGTTAATTTTGCATCTATCTTTGTTCGTTCTATAAAATAAAGTAGCTAGAGAAATGAGGGAAGAAGATTCTACTAATATTATTTGTAAGGTCTCCGAGCTCTCGGCATCACGTTAATTTCCTATTCAAGGAAATATTCTCTCTTTAAAAAGAAAAAGAAAAATATAGTATAGCAAAAGTCGGCATATATATATACGTTGAAGAAGCATGAAGCCAAACAAACATCCCTGAAAAATAACATGGAAGTCACTATCCCTAAGACATACAATTTCGTGACTGTGTCTATTGATCCCGTCTAGGTGCGTACGAACGTAGTCGGTAGAGTTGTAAATTATGCATCGAGTTGTTGAAGTTCTCTCAATGAAGTTTTCATGTCTGATGTCTTAATCTTTCCCTTAAAACAAACATGTCGTGTTATAGGAAAAGGTACGTTGTGGAATTGTATAATACAAGTCCTTGAATTAAATTTCATATGGTTTTTGGGAAATAAAAGTTTAATTATAAGTGGGAAAAATTTTAGACCCACTTACAATAATTGAGGGGGGTTTTGATAGCGACTCTAGGCTTAAGTGGCATCTCCAAAAACAATCTCTCTTTTATTTTCCTCCCCACAATTATTGATTTTTCTTTTTCAAAGATTCAGAAAAGACCAAAGAACTTCTCTTTTTTTCTTCTTCTTCTTCTTTTGGAGTTTTGGGTAACTGGAATAGAATGCTATATACCGGTCAATTTTTTTTTTTTAGTAGGATTAGGGAAAATAAGGTCAGAAGTCCAAGTTCCACATTTCAAGGGTCAAAATTGACCTCTGTCCAATAAATGATAGATGCTGATCTCACACTACACTGGCGACCAAGAGGGCTTCGGATGGTTTGGTTGCTACACCAATAACTGTCTTCTGTGCGATGCTTAAATGATAGATATTAATCTACCACTAGGCTACATAATATGGTCACATTTTTGTGTGTTTACAAATACTCTGATTCAATCTCCTCAAAGATTCCAAATATATAACAACACATGATAAATCACTAGTCTCTCTTTCACGTCAGGAGACCAAATCAGTCCGTAGCATATCTACGTAAGTACATATAATATATACATGCGTTCAACAACTAATCATTTTAACGAAGACCGTCAATTCCTTTTCAGTTCGCACTAGTCACTAGACACAAACACTAAGTTATTCTATTATCCAACAAACTCCCACATCTTTTATTTATTAGTACAAAAAGCTGTAACCAATCAATCATACATGCTTGCGAACAAACATATATATGATATATATGATGCAATGCACCATTTTGTACCACAAAAGCCATGCGAGTACACGTGGCCTAGTCACTTGTGACCACAAGCACACACGACTGACTAACTTATATATCGGCTATAAAGGCAGAATTTGAGCATGCATTGTTATCTTTCCGATCTCATCCACAGAAGTCCTACAAGTACACACATACATAAGGCCTGAACATAGTCTGTGTTATTTTATTTGTAATGTTTTGGGTTCTGTGAAAAGAAGATTCTGATGAAGATATGGAAGTACACATACAAAAGGTTTAATCTGATAAGACCATATACATACCTATCATAAAATTATTATTTTTAACCGAAATTATCATTAACTAAGGGTACGGATAACTTTCACAAATAAACTTTAGAATTTCAAATTACAAAACCATGCTGTAAAGTGTGTAAGCAAATAAATTTATACATCCAAAGTTTTTTAGAAAAAAGAAAGAAAAGAAAAAGAATTGCCGACCTATACAAGAATAATATGGTAGTTGTGGGATTTAAGATGTATGTGTGAGATCATGTGACATGTCTTCAAAATTAAGGTTATGCTTTTTTTTGTGCATATATATTTAATTGACAAGTTGATGAATACTGATGGCGAAGATGACCTCATCAATCATAACCAACAATCTCTCCATCAAATGTTTTAATGATATCCCTTTAAATATTTGCAATAAAATACAGAGAAAAAAGAAAGAAAAAAAACTGAGTGCCTCTTCACCAAAACAAAAGCTCCCACGCTTTTAATACTTAAACACTAGCTACTGTTTTGTTTTCAGTTAAACTTCAACTGAATAGTGTTTACTATGGATGACTTCTTAATTATGTGATCATTGTTACAAAATAAGGTAACTATGAGGTTTTTCGTCAAACAAAGAAATGGGGTTTCTTAAACATAAAATGTAAGACTACATAAAATGTAAGACTACATAAAATGTAAGACTAATATTATTAAAGAAATCTTACCCCTAAGATTTAAAGAGAAAAGTATCTTGCCCTAACGAGTAAATTTTAAGGGTAAAATCCCCTTAATAATGTTGCACTCGGATCGTTTTATTGTTACATAAGAAAAAATAATTAGTATACAAAAAGTGAGATAATGAATTTTGAAGAGAGAATAATTAATTAGGGCTAAAAAATTATAAATTATACAAAAAATAAATTAAAAACCCACTCGATTCCTTTGAATTTGACCCCACAAGTTTCCTTCGTATTTGGAAAAGACATTTTCTCACATTAGAAAATAATAATTGCCAACGATGAAGAAGACCCACCCCCAACACCCCACTCTCCTATATTTAAATATACACCAAAAGAAATGTAATACGTACAACTATATAACTTTACTTTAATCTTAAACCAGTTGATTGATCTAAAAGCATACGCTACATTAAAAATCATATCTTACAAAAAAACAATTACAGTTTTATTCGTGTACGATAAGTATTTACTGAAAAGCTCGTTAGATTCTCTACAATGATCGATCGTAACACATTTGATTCTTGGTTTACTTTATGTATCCTTTTTCAAACACTCTGTAGAAATTTCATCGAAATTACCATCTAACATTTGAAACCCTGCACAATGTATGGACTAAACCACTTAAAGCTAACAAGTCTTTTGCACAAATGAAGTTTGAAGATTAACAAACAACACATCTCTCCCATAATAATCTCTAATAATCATCTCCCTTAGGTGTTCTATATTTGATCACCATGCACTTTACCCTGTCATGGACTTGGTCTTGACGCCAATCTTCTTCCAAGAAACACTTGGCATGATTTGTTTCGTGTCCACACGATCTTTAAATTGAACTGCAAAGTTGAGCAACGAATCAAGAAGTGACTCTGATAGATAGTGAGGCTCTAGTCCAAGTTCCATCAGCTTTGTGTGCTTTGCATTGTAGTAATGTTCTTCCGCCTCCACTCTCGGGTTTGGCACCGTCATCTTCTTCACGTCCAGCCCCAGCTTTGAACCCGCTTTAGTGACGAGGGAAGCCAGTTCATTCACTGAAAACTGTTCTGTGAATTGGTTGAAGACCCGGAACTCACCAGCTTTTGCTGGGTTAGCTATAGCTATCTCAACACATTGAACCGTGTCCCTTATATCGAGGTAGCCTCTTGTCTGCAATGAGAAGAAAGAAAAACTGCATTAAAACCTCACCTTTTCGATTAGAAACTATATTTCAAAACAACTAAAAGAGTCATTTACCTGACCACCTTTACCGTAAACAGTAAGTGGATGACCAACTGCAGCCTGCACACAGAACCGGTTAAGTGCTGTACCAAACACAGCATCGTAATCTAATCGGTTACGGAGTTCCTCATGCATCTCTGTCTCATCAGTCTTCACTCCATACACAACTCCCTGGTTGAGATCAGTGGCTCTAATACCCCAAGCCTTGCAAGTAAAAGCAATGTTGTGCGAATCGTGAACTTTGCTAAGATGATAAAAGGAGCTCGCTTGCTTGGGGTATGGCAAAGTGTCGGTTCTACCATTGTGCGTTATCGTTATATAACCTTCCTCAATGTCGATATTTGGAGTACCATACTCGCCCATCGTCCCGAGTTTTACAAGATGACACTCTTCTCCGAACTCTTTAATGGCAAAGAGAACATTAAGAGTCCCAATCACATTGTTGTGCTGTGTAAAGACGGCTCTGGACCGGTCTATCATCGAGTAAGGCGCAGATCTCTGTTCCCCGAAGTGCACAACTGAATCAGGCTCAAAAGACTTGAAGGACTCAGCTAAGAATTCGAAATCACAGATATCCCCAACAAATAGCTCAATTGATTTCCCAGTCAAAGCCTTCCATCTGCTGATTCGGTCATGAATTGAGGCTATAGGAGTCAATGACTCAAGTCCAAGCTGGTGATCGAAAAGCCGCCTTACAAGGTTGTCAACGATGCAAACTTCGTAGTTCTTCTTGGACAAGTGGAGAGCAGTAGCCCAACCGCAGTAACCATCTCCACCAATGACCATAACACGTTTTGGTTTAGACGATGAACCATTGGTTGATGTTTCGGGTGGTGCTTGTTGGCTTATAGGCACAGCAGTAGCTCGGAAAACGGAGCTTCTTCTCAGTTTCTTCTCTTGGAAGAGAAGTCCTTTGAGAGAAGATCTTGAAAAACATTGAGGTTTGAAGAAGGTTTGGCCTAAAAGGGAACTCTTGCTACTGCTGCTGCTGTTAAGTGAGATAACTGAAGGGCATGAAGCTGAAAGTAGATGCGCCATTTTAAAGGTTTGTTCTTGATTCTATCAAACACACTCACCTGCAAAAACAAAATCAACTTAAAAATTAAGAAAACTTGGTTCAGCAGAACAGGACATATCTAGGAGAGAATGTCATGACTAGAAAAGGATTCTACCAATTTCTCGATTTTTTTAATTTAAAAACCGAAATTAAATTCCAAAAACTAAATCAATAAAAATCGAAACTTTCTCCTCAAACACACTAAACCAGGCTAACCAGCTCTTCCCAGGACTGAATATTGCATCAAGTGAAGTAATAAGAGGAGATTCAGCAAAACAATATGCTTTAGCAATAAGTAAACAGAGTCGCATACATTAAGAAAAGACGCACATTGATGGGCGCTAACATGAAATTTAGACAAAAACCCAACTGAAACTCTGTGAAATATTTTGATTTCCAACCATTTTCAGAGTTTCTTCTAGACGAAAAGTAGTCAAGTTATAAAAGGGAGAAATCAAATAGTAGATGAGATAAGAGAGGATGATTGCTTACGCTTTTGGAATCTTGTTTAGGGGCAGAGGACCGAGAGAGAGTTGGAAGAAGAAGCTTCAAGACTTTGAATTGAAGTGAACTTACTCGTCTCTTCTCCCCTGAGACTAGACGATGGGATGAGTCAGATAATAAATCCATTAGATATGCCCAAAGCATATTCTTATTTATTCCCTTCCCGAATTTTTCGGCCTAATACTGTAATTAGAGTCTGTGATCCGAATTTAACAAACCAATTGATACGCTAGCTTTTTTTAACTACACGTACGTACTTCGGTTTTTACTTTTTAGGCTCGAGATTTCGTTCATTGTCGCTAAGGGATACTTTTCCCTTACTGGGCCTCTTGGCCCAATTATATATTTTTCGCTGTTTCCTGAATTATGAAATAGAAAAAAAAAACAAAATCAGTGAAATGTATTCGGACTAATCATTCAATGGAATTTATTCGAACTCAGATCAAAACACTATTTTTGTTTTTTTTGTTAAAATAGTCATTGTTTTTTAAGTTGACATTAAACTAGTCATACTTTCTGCTGCAATATATAAAAATCACACTAACAAAGGCTTGAACAAAAATGTGAAAAACATCCTCCTACTACTTCTCATCTTCTTCTATATTTGTTATACATCTGATGGGTTATTGTGCCTATACTACATATACAGCGACCAAAACTGATCTTGTAAATGTAGTATTATGCTTTTTAATGCGAGTGGGTGTGGGTAAAATGACGACATTCTATGCTCATCTGATTCTCGTGAACAACTTGTGAGTTTGTAAAAAACGTACGTGCACGCACACACAAAACTACTCGCACTGATTGACATTCTCCGAAACTTTCTTTATAAAAACAGATAACTCCATAATAACAACTCCTAATAGCTGGGTTGCTTTACACTAATCACACAAATCTACAAGTTTGATCATCTAAGACAGTAATGTCTCTGTTACAGGTCTGAAAACTTCTTCCACATCATCCATTTCAAAGTTCTTGGCTTCTTCAATCTTTTTTTTTTTCTCACATTTTGCCTCTAAATGTTTTCAGGATTTCTGGCAGCTCCTTCGACCATTATCCTCTGGATTGACAGGTATTCTCACTTCACTTTGCTGCTTTCTGATAGATATATAGTCTCTGTCATCTTTTCATAACTTAAAAACTTAAAAAGTCACTTAAAACCTTGGAGAGTTACTTCGTTTTTGCTCTTGATTCCTTCATTACTATAACTTTTTGTTTTTTGTTTTAAACTGCAAAACAGAGTCGTTCACAACCAGTTGTGACTCGGGAGAGTCAGACCCGTGTCGGGATGACGCGGCTGCTCTCACACTCAAGTTTGCAGCTATGGCTTCGATCCTTGTCGCCGGAGCCGCCGGGGTCTCAATTCCCCTTGTAGGAGGAACCCTCCTCCCGTCGAACGGTGGCTTGATGAGGGGAGCGAAAGCGTTCGCAGCAGGAGTGATCCTCGCAACAGGGTTCGTTCACATGCTCTCCGGCGGCTCTGAGGCTTTGTCCGACCCGTGTCTTCCGGAGTTCCCCTGGAAAATGTTTCCTTTCCCAGAGTTCTTCGCCATGGTCGCGGCGCTTCTCACTCTGCTCGCGGATTTCATGATCACGGGATATTACGAGAGTAAGCAGGAGAAGATGATGAGCCGGTCCGTCGAGTCGCTTGGTCAACACGGTTCCATTCTTTCGGATCCTAGTCTTGAATCGGGTTTACTGAGGGACGAAGATGGAGGAGCGTTGCATATCGTTGGGATGCGTGCTCACGCGGACCACCACCGTCACAGCCTCTCCATGGGTGCCGAAGGTTTTGAGGCTCTCGCTAAGAGAAGCGCTGTTTCCGGTCATGGACACGGCCACGGGGACGTTGGCTTGGACAGTGGTGTAAGGCACGTTGTTGTTTCTCAGGTTAAGGCTTCTTTTTTCTCTTCTTTTGATATTTCTGACTTTGACTTTATTTTCAGTAAGCTCTGACTTTTGCTTTCGAGATCTTATTATTGATTTTTTTAAAAGAAAAAACAAGTATTTGACTTTATTTATACACAATACAATGCAGCTAAAAGTGTATCTTAAAATAAAATAAGTAAATAAATGGCATTCTAATAACTGTACATGACTTTCATGATAATTAACAGCTGGAGTAACATATAGGTAGATTTGTTTTAATGAAATAACAGCTCTGTGTTAGACAATTGTAATGTTAATCGAAAATGAAAAATCTAGTCCATTTTAGATATACAAGTGCATCGAGTGATGGATATTTTGTATTGTACCATTACATTAACTTAATAATTTAGTTTTTCCTGTTTTCTAATAGTATATATTGTCATTTTTTTATCGTTGAATACAAAATAGCGATCGTATTAGTCATAAGTGTTTTTGGTTGTGGTATTGTGACGTGTTCTTGTGTCATATGTGACCTAGTAAAACGATTCCGTTTATAAAATATATTTTTATATTCGTTGCACATAAATTAATTGATGATACTCTGATTTTCTTATATATATTCCAGATACTAGAAATGGGAATAGTATCACATTCAATAATAATAGGAATATCACTTGGAGTGTCACATAGCCCATGCACCATACGTCCGCTACTTCTCGCTCTTTCCTTCCACCAATTCTTCGAAGGTTTCGCTCTCGGTGGTTGCGTTGCAGAGGCAAGACTAACCCCTCGTGGATCTGCCATGATGGCTTTCTTCTTCGCCATCACTACTCCCATCGGCGTGGCCGTGGGAACGGCCATTGCCTCATCCTACAATTCCTACAGTGTTGCGGCATTGGTGGCTGAAGGAGTGCTCGACTCTCTCTCTGCGGGGATACTTGTGTACATGGCGCTTGTGGATTTGATCGCTGCTGACTTCTTGAGCAAGAAGATGAGTATTGATTTCAAACTTCAAGTTGTTTCTTATTGCTTTTTGTTTCTTGGAGCTGGGATGATGTCTGCTCTTGCTATTTGGGCTTGATCATCAGCTTTTAACTTTTTTTTTTTTTTTGGTTATATCAAGTTATTTGATTTTCTTTTCTGGTTTTGTGTGTATGGAATTTAATCCATTTGACTTGTGACTCATTATGAGGTGCTGTTTTTTTTTTTTTTGTGATTTGTTTATTGAAGTACGTAGTAATCAGAAGACTCAACATGTTTATTACTCTATTTTTTATGTGTTAATAAAAAAAATATGGCGTTTTGACGATGTTCACTCGGTAGCAATTTTTCGCTGTCCAATCTTTCTTAAACCTTTTTTTTTTCTTTTAGCTAGTAACGAAAAAAATAGATTGTACATCATGAATCCGAATTAGCTGGACCAGAAAACAAAAGAAAGTTTTGAAACACCCTTAACCCTAGGCCTTCATAAGTGACCATATAGCTTTTCGTTTTTGTACCAAGTTCAGGGACTTGGAGTGATCGATCGATCGTGCCTATACATCGTATGTAAAAGTTCATCTCTATTCATCTTTATCAACGATACCATATTATATACTAACTTTTAGACTTTAATTTTACATGATCATGTACTTATAATTAGTTTAAAATACATCATAAATCACCTCTCTAGCTACTAGTTTGAACTCTAAAGACGCTGTATAATTCATGAATCACAGCTTTGTGTATTCCGTTTTTGTAATATAATTATGAATACCCTTTAACAACAAAAGAAAGCGTTCGAACTAAATTTATGAATAACATACGTTTTCCAAAAGGAAAGGAAGTCTTGAGGTTTATTTTTCTTGGAAGGTCAAAAAACGAGAATATTTCATTATCTGTCGAATAATATATTTAGATGTTAGAGGACGATGATGGTTCCCATGTATGATGAAGAAAAAGACGAACCCTAATATTTATTTTTATTTTATTTTCAAAAGTTCTCTTTTTTTTGGAGATAAACTCTCTGTGAAACATATTCCGCCACCTAGTTTATCTTATATATTCATGTGATCCAAAATAATTATATCATCTTTGCCATATAATATTGATTTGTTGCTATATATCTTTCCGATATATATATATTTTTATTGGTTTTCTGATAAAGGTGACAAACATTTTTGTCCACTGATACCCAATCTCTTCCACTTCAGTTCTCTTCCTTTCAAATTTTATCTCGAGATGTTCTTACAGCATTTTTACGTAAAGTACTCATTCCTGTAATTATCGTAAGGATTTGCTGGCCAGATATATTTTTAGTTAGGCCAAAAACGGTAATATAAATTATATATTTTACGGAATTTATTAATCTCGAAACGTACGTTAATCAAAACACGGCACAATATAAAAGTTTTAATTATTGATTAGGCTTTACAAAACTTCATCATGTAATATATTACAGTACTAGGATTTGAAAGCTATATTAAGTACACTAAAATTCTATTTTTAAACATCATATACTCTCCTAATAGTTTTTGTACTAGCTGCTACAAACTGTATTATTGCTGGTAATTAAAAATCTATATAGTTTGGAGGAAAATGCTAAACCAATAAACAAAATAATTAAGAGATAATTAAAAAAAAAAAAAAAAACAAAAGATTATCACAATATTGTACGAGTGATTAGATGCAAAACACGTGGAATAGGTACAAAATACAAATTGGCTCAATGCTTTTCACCAACCCCATCTCGAGCTTCACCATTAACCACAGAGAGCCACGCGATTTTCTGATTTTCTTACAAAAGAAAGAAAAAAGAGCAAAGAATATCCCGAAAATTTTCGACTATATAATAAACACACTTTATTTTGGTCTAAGGACGTCGTCATATACATTCGTTCATTCGCATTTTTCTTTTTACAACGGTCCGTGAGTGAGAGTGTGTGTGTGTGTATTATATACTCTCTCTATCTCTATCTCATCTCATCTCTCAGATTCCCTCCACCATCCATGGCTACGATATACTAAAAAAGCAAGACATATCTATCCTTCATCTTCCTCAACCTCACACATCTAATCTACTCTTTCGCTCTGCGTTTTTATTTTTTAAAGTTTTCTGAGTGCAACCCAGTCATGGAGCGCGCAAGGAGACTTGCTTACCGAGGCATCGTCAAGCGTCTCGTCAACGAGGCTAAACGACACCGCAACCCCGAAACTCCCCACCTTGTTGTTCCCCACGCTCCGGCGAGGTATGTCTCTTCTCTTTCCCCTTTCGTCTCCACCCATCGATCCCCCGCGTCGTTCGGGAGGCACCACTCCCACCAGCAGACGCGTCCCATCTCCGTCGAGGCTCTTCAACCTGGCGACACCTTCCCACGTCGTCACAACTCGGCAACACCAGATGAGCAGAGCCATATGGCCAAGTTCTGTGGCTTTGATCATATCGATTCACTCGTCGACGCTACGGTGCCCAAATCTATCCGATTAGACTCCATGAAGTTCTCCAAATTCGACGGAGGTCTAACCGAGAGTCAAATGATCGAGCACATGGTTGATTTGGCTTCCAAGAACAAGATTTTCAAATCCTTTATTGGGATGGGTTACTACAACACGTATGTCCCTCCTGTGATTCTCCGTAACATTATGGAGAACCCAGCTTGGTACACTCAGTACACTCCTTATCAAGCTGAGATCTCTCAGGGTCGTCTCGAATCGCTGCTCAATTTCCAGACGGTCATCACCGACCTCACGGGGCTTCCCATGTCGAACGCTTCGCTCCTCGATGAAGGGACTGCGGCTGCCGAGGCTATGGCCATGTGTAACAACATTCAAAAGGGTAAAAAGAAGACCTTTCTCATTGCTAGTAACTGTCACCCTCAGACTATTGATATCTGCAAGACTAGAGCCGGTGGGTTTGATCTCAAAGTTCTCTCCGCTGATCTCAAGGATATAGATTACAGCTCTGGTGATGTTTGTGGGGTTCTTGTCCAGTACCCTGGAACTGAAGGTGAGGTCTTGGATTACGCTGAGTTTGTCAAGACTGCTCATGCTAATGGTGTTAAGGTTGTGATGGCTACGGATTTGCTGGCTTTGACTATGTTGAAACCCCCTGGGGAATTGGGGGCCGATATTGTGGTTGGTTCCGCTCAAAGGTTTGGTGTTCCCATGGGTTATGGTGGTCCTCATGCCGCGTTCTTGGCTACTTCACAAGAGTATAAGAGAATGATGCCAGGGAGGATTATCGGTGTTAGTGTAGATTCTTCAGGAAAGCAAGCTCTGCGTATGGCTATGCAGACTAGAGAACAGCATATTAGGAGGGACAAAGCCACTAGCAACATCTGTACTGCTCAAGTAAGTAATCACTTCTTACTATCTGATTACTTAGTTCGCGCTGATAATTAGATGATATATTATATTGATTCATGCTGATGAGAACTTCATCTTTTCCTCTTACTCTGACATTTTGTGTATGTTTTTTCCTTTTCTTACAGGCGTTGCTTGCCAACATGGCTGCCATGTATGCTGTTTACCATGGACCTGCAGGTCTAAAATCTATTGCCCAACGTGTTCATGGTCTTGCTGGCGTCTTTGCCTTAGGGTTGAAAAAGCTTGGGGTTGCAGAAGTCCAAGAACTTCCCTTCTTTGACACGGTAAAAATTAAGTGTTCGGATGCACATGCTGTTGCTGATGCAGCTGCTAAAAGTGAAATTAATCTGCGTGTTGTGGACTCAAACACTGTGAGTCTCCTTTGCTTTGGCCTTTAAAGGTTCTTACTAGTATAGCAGCATAAAGACCTGAATATTTGGATATGATTACCTCATTCAGATTACTGCTTCTTTTGACGAAACAACCACCTTGGATGATGTCGATAAACTTTTCAAAGTTTTTGCTTCTGGCAAGCCTGTAAGTTTTTTTGCTAATTCTTCTTTTTGTTGTTTACTTATCAGTTCTGGACATCTTGCATAAAATTTGATTATCTCCAATCTGCTTCAGGTTCCATTCACTGCTGAATCTCTAGCACCCGAAGTTCAGAATGCCATTCCTTCTAGCTTAACAAGAGAGAGCCCTTATCTTACCCACCCAATCTTCAACATGTACTGTTCTTTTCTTTAAATCTTGAGTGGTTTATTGCTTGTGGATTATCAGTTTTTCATCTTTATTTTCAATTTTGACAATGTGATTAGGTACCACACAGAGCATGAGTTGCTTAGGTACATTCACAAGTTACAGAATAAGGATCTATCACTGTGCCACAGCATGATTCCATTGGGATCTTGTACGATGAAACTAAATGCGACAACTGAAATGATGCCAGTCTCATGGCCAAGTTTCACCGACATTCACCCTTTTGCTCCTGTTGAACAAGCACAAGGATATCACGTGAGTCACTTTCTTGATTCATCTGAGGTTTGATCTATGAAATTGAAAAGATGAACTGATTTCTTTTCTTTTCTACATTTATATAGGAAATGTTCGAAAATTTGGGTGATCTCTTATGTACAATCACTGGCTTTGACTCTTTCTCATTGCAACCTAATGCTGGTGCTGCTGGTGAGTATACCGGGCTTATGGTTATCCGCGCATATCACATGGTAAACCTTATATCCTAAATTTGAATCTAGTTTTCTTACCTTTATTTTGGTTTAATTGATATAAACTGAAAAGTGAATGAATGAATGCATTATTCAGTCAAGAGGAGATCATCACCGTAATGTGTGTATCATACCTGTCTCTGCACACGGTACAAACCCTGCAAGTGCTGCTATGACCGGGATGAAAATTATTACGGTTGGAACTGATGCTAAGGGAAACATCAACATTGAGGAGGTGAGAAAAGCTGCAGAAGCCAACAAAGACAACTTAGCCGCTCTTATGGTTACATACCCTTCAACTCATGGAGTCTATGAAGAGGGTATCGACGAGATTTGCAACATAATACACGAATTTGGAGGTCAAGTGTACATGGATGGTGCCAACATGAATGCACAGGTGAAATATCTTAATAAAACAGTAAACACAGGTGAGATCTCAAGGTTTTGTCTTATTTGAAAGAGCATGGTGTTGGGTTTGTGTAGGTTGGCTTGACAAGTCCCGGTTTTATTGGAGCCGATGTGTGTCATCTCAATCTCCACAAGACCTTCTGTATTCCTCATGGAGGTGGTGGTCCTGGTATGGGTCCCATTGGTGTGAAGAAACATTTGGCACCATTTCTTCCTTCTCACCCCGTGGTTAGTCTTTGATCCTTCATCACTGTAATGCATCTTGGTTAATGATCATTAAATTTCTTATTGTTGGGTTTCCTCCATTGCCATGTAAAAAGATATCTACTGGTGGTTTCCCACAACCGGAGAAGACAGAACCGTTGGGTACAATAGCCGCTGCACCATGGGGATCTGCGCTTATCTTGCCAATATCTTATACTTACATTGCCATGATGGGATCTGGTGGACTCACTGATGCCTCCAAGATTGCAATTTTGAATGCCAATTACATGGCAAAGCGTCTAGAGGTAGTAGAGCATCTCTGTCTTCTTTTTGTCTATTCGTTTGAGAATGAAGAAAGTCTAATTTTCCTATTGATTTGTTTATACAGAAACACTACCCAGTTCTTTTCCGTGGTGCTAATGGAACAGTAGCACACGAATTCATCATAGACTTGAGAGCCTTCAAGGTATTAAAATGTTGTGAATTGAATGAAATGAAAATATTTTATTTTGGGGATGCATATATCCATAACCACTTCAAATATGGATTTGTAGAACACTGCTGGAATAGAAGCAGAAGATGTGGCGAAACGGCTAATGGACTATGGGTTCCATGCACCTACGATGTCCTGGCCTGTCCCTGGAACTCTTATGATTGAGCCAACCGAGAGTGAAAGCAAGGTATATATTAATATGCAAATATTACACTGACTCTTTATTTCTCTCAATGTATTTACTCGATGGAACTGATGATATTTGTTTGCAGGCGGAGCTAGACAGGTTCTGCGATGCTCTCATTTCAATTAGGGAAGAAATTGCACAGATTGAGAAAGGAAATGCGGATGTTCAGAACAACGTTCTCAAGGTAAATACGAAAACAAAGACTCATCTTATTATTGGAGAAGTTGAGATAAAGACTTGGTTGTTTGTGTTCTCAGGGTGCTCCACATCCTCAATCAGTGCTAATGGCAGACACATGGAACAAGCCATATTCCCGAGAGTACGCAGCTTTCCCTGCCCCATGGCTCCGGTCCTCAAAGTTCTGGCCCATCACAAGTATAAGACCATCCGAGATAGATTACTCATATGGTTTTTTTTTGGTGTAGCTTTTGATTTCTGACAAATTATTGAAATGTGGAACAGGTCGAGTGGACAATGTGTATGGAGACAGGAAACTGGTGAGCACTCTCCTCGCGGAGGAAGAACAGGTCGCAGCTGCAGTATCTGCTTGAGTACAGCTCTCCCTCGATGCAGAAACTTGTGTTATGTGTCCCACTTTCTCACACCATTCTCTCTTCTCTTTCACATTCTGTCCATAGTGTTCTCATTATACGCTTTCTATCTCTCTTACTCTCTTAATCTAATTCGAATACATCTATATATTTTCCACAAATCACCTAAACAAACATATATACTGTCAAAAAGTTGTAGAAAGATAAAACCAAAAAATCTCAACAGTTAACAAAGATTAAGAATCTAGGAAACTCAACTGAACCTTGATTGTTGTCCCATGCGTTTTGAAAAGATTTACAATTTTGTATAAATCCCATCCAGCCACAAATCCTGTTTAGGGCTGGTTGTCTCAAATACTGTTCCATGAACAGGTCACACTGCTGGCTGGTTCAGTACGGCTGTACAAAGATTGTTTTCTTGCAATTTACTCATAACTCTTAGTAAATGGTTTAAAAAACAAACTTCGGTAGATCAAGACTTAAAAACAACATGGCATAGACACAAGATAAATAGAAAAAAATGCTTCATTACTTTCAATGCAACAGTTTACACTACACTATTTAAAACATAACTAAATTCTTCACAATATTACTTACAGCTAATAATCACCAACTAATTTTGATAAAAGACAATACGGAAAACAAGTTTAGTACGTAAAACCAAGCAGAAGCTGCAGATGTAATATAACCGGTGCTCCATGGACATGGTTCTGCCTCAGTCTTCAACCTCAGTGTTGAAAACAAAACTTGGGAATGCTGTCGTCACATCCCTTCAAATTCAAACAAAATATTGTTAATCAAAAAGTAAAGGGACAATCTTAAATGAAAGAAAGAATCTAACAAAGAGAGATGATTTGGTACTTTAGGTAAGGAAGAGTCATATTCTTCAACAAGCTGGGATGCTTAAGCACATACACCTTCCATTCATCCTTGCTAATTTTACCGTCTTTGTCGAAATCTGCATCAGCAAATGTCTAGCAAAAAGACAAAGAAGAGAAACCAAAAAAAAAAAAAAGCAATCTGCTAACTGAATTTACCAGAATGTATGATTCATTTACTAATAGAGAGGAGGATTCCAAAAACTCACTTTATCAATAATCATGGTCAGAAGTTCATCGGATAGTATCATATCAGATTCCATCAAAATAGCAGCCACCATTTGTTGCACCTAACATGTCACAACAAATTCAATTTGTTTATGAAGCTCAAAAGACAGGTTACAACTTGCAATAGCAGATTATCAATTACCTCTTCTCTCTCAATAAATCCGGTCTGTCTGAGATCATAGAGCCTAAACGCAACTGCCAGAAATAAGAACATATGCTTAAGATTCATCCATGAGTTATATATTATGATAACCCTTTGCTATGTATTGTTAGTAGGACATTGAATATTGATCCTTACAGTCGATCTTCTCCTCAATTGGTGCGTAGGGATGAAAGACACTGAGTGCATGGATGAATTCCTCAAACTCAATAACCCCATTCTTCTTTTCATCGAACAAATCAAAAACCTGCAAAGCAATAACCAATATATTACCATAACATTCAATCTCAACAAGTCCAAGAAGCCATGATCAGTCTCTCTAAAGAACACACTCACCCTATCAAGAAAGAGGTTCTCACCATATGGAGCTTGAAACAGCGCCAGTCGAAGCTCTTCCTAAAAACCAGGAATATTAATATCTTTATATAATCATATCATCGCATCAGTTAAAACTTAAAGAGCAGACTTTGAAAGCAATCAATCACACATGACACATATAAGCTGATCATCAAGCATTGGCAAATTCATAAGCTATACATCTGATCTAAGAGACTTTCACAAGTCGAAGAAGAAGAAAAAACAGACCTTGTGAATCAAACCGTCATCAATAATAGAACAGCTGAGTTTCTTGAACAGCTCATACAAAGCTTCAACTTCATTGACTGAAACTGCAGAGTGGTCAAAACAAAAGGAACAAACTTTCACACTAATCAAACACCAAAACAGAGAAATTCAAAACAACCCATTGATCCAAAAATGTAGACAAAATGTACTAGCACACTGAACATGGAATGAAAGAGAGAGAGAGAGATAAATAAAGAAGAAAAACAAACATCGAGATTCACGGGCAAGACGATTCAGATCCGCGTGCTGGCATGTCCGAGGGGAAGAGCCACGGCAGTCGAAGCATTGTGAGACGGAGGAAATGAGGAGATCAATAATGGCAAACAGAGGTATGAAGACGGCGCAGATTTGCTCCCCAACAGTCAGAGAGCTTGATCTTCCCTGTATTTACCGAACATACCCAAAAAACTTATCAGAGAAGAAAGGAGGAAAAAGAAAATACAAAATGTTAGTTTTTTTGTTTCTTTGAAAGAGAGGAGATTACAGAGGAAACTTGAGGCCAGTCCATGACTCTCTCAATTCAAAGTCAATCCCCTCATCGATGAAATAATGGAGTCGAAACCTGAATCACATCTCAAATTTCCCCAACACATTATTATTAATTGGCGCTTTGATTATGCGTCAAATCAATTCACGAGATTTAATCCTTTTTCTTTCAGTTTTATCAAAAATTATTTACTACGCTAATCCATAATTTTCACATTCTCGAATCAAAAGTACCGTCCCAGGCCGCGGTTTTTTTTTTGTTTTTTTTTTCAATGTAATTGGCAATATCGCTAATATGATTTTTAAGATAAAAATATCGAAGTAATTTTGTAAACTCTTTTATTTCTCATGTGCAATGAATATATATATTATAATTTTACGAACAATAATGCCATTATGTAACTTAAGTAACTTTTGGAAAAAAAAAAGTAACCTTTAATGATTTCGATTATCAAAAAAGTTGGTATTTGTTAATATATACATTATTTGTACAGTAGATAGTATTTGATTGATTAAAATGTTGACCACAAAAACCAATCTATATTTATGGTTGTTGTCGACTTCTCTCAGTCTCATCTCATATTCTCATGTACACTTTTTGTGGACAATATTTACTATGCGCTAGTATCTATTCATCAAATTAATAACTAATTATTATACTTTATATAAAAAAATAGTATTACATATTTATATATTTGTCTGCCTGGAAGCTAACATATCCACATGGATAATAATTTTGTAGACCTTGTGGTAAAAGATGAAAGCAGCCAAGCTAGAGTTGTGGACCTTGTGGGTGAATTAGTACAAGGCACGGCACATCGACATCGACAGTGACATCAGTGGATATTGATGTTAAACTTATCTCAACGCTCTTATCTAGTATAATCGTATTATTGTGTTCAAAGGAAATAAGAAACGAAAAGAAATACAGTATTGTTCCTCAGAACAGAACACTGCTCTGCAGACAACAAACGATAAATATCATATCTAGGTCTTGTAATTTCTTGTCGTTGGGTTTATCTTCTAGATTTATTTTTGTTGGTATTTACACAACTTGCGAACCCAAGTTTCACAGATTCATCACCCCCTTAAAAAGCTTTCCTTCTTGGTTAAAAAGAGATATCCCTCATTTCTCCTAGTTTAACAATGAAATGAAAACTCTTAACCAAATTACAAACCTAAAACCAACAAAAATCCAATGCATAACCAGCCTAGTCATGGCTCCGATGCAAGCTTCCAAATTTTAACAGTTTTATCGTCGCTGGCCGAGGCAAGCAACTCGCTATCCTTCTGCATTGGTTTTAACAGCCTCGAGTTAGCACAATGCAAATCTTGAAAGTAGAGTTACAGCAAGAGATGACTCAGGTATATGCTAAAACCATATATACAGAGAAAAAAATTAAGCTTTCAACTGTTTAAAGAATCGAACTCAGTACCCCAAAATACAAATTCGTTTTCTGTACTCATTAATAAGGAAAGGAACTTACATCAGGTGCCCATTGGACCGAGTTTATATCCATTTCATGTGCTTTCTCCTTCTTAAGCAAAAGTTTGTATGCAGGTTCAACAACCTGTCACAATGATGATCAGCATTTCAGTTTGGCTGCAGCACAAGGTGTATTGCACCTTATAAAATCATAGAATACACACGTGTTGTGCTACAAAAGCCTACAATGGTTACAGAACGAATGCAAAGAAGTAAACCAGACAAGATATTTCAACATGATCATAAAAGAGGGCTTTGTGATTATTAGGTAAAAGGGAGAAAGTGCATACAGAGTCACTGTCGCTGTCCACAAATAACTGTATAGTATCATCGCCTGCTCCACTAGCAATAATACCGTCCCTGTAAGAGTATCAAATCTCATCACAAAAAAAACTTATATCTATTTATCAACAAGTGTCTCTGAAAATAAGCAACGGATTTAGTAGGGACTTTAAAACTGTTTCTTTCAAATGCCTCAAAAGAAACCAAAGTGAGAAGATCTATACCTTGACCAATGAACTGAATATATGGTACGATCGTGATAACCAGAGAGTGTACAAAGATGGGTCCTGCAAAAGATCAAACAGGTAAATATTCCATTGCCTACAAGTTGGAACATGAATGAAGTATATTCAGCTGCATGCATCTTATCTCAAAACTTATAGACCATAGATATAAAAATAAGGATTAAGTCTTCAAAAGATGAAAGATATGTATGCTAATCTCTATGGAGTGTGATAATTTGATAGTGGCCACTATATCCTCACCAAGGTACATATCCTTCACCAGATTGCATCCTTTCAATATCTGTCGACCATATCTTTATTGTTCGATCATCACTACAAGTTCAGACAATAGTAACGTTGTCAGAACAGGTAACAGAGATGAAATAACCTATGAGAAACTATGTATGAGGAGAAGATTTGCCAACCTACAAGTGACCATCCTGTCCCCAGTAGCATTGAAGGAGACAACCCAGACGGTAGAAGAATGACCACTGAATGAAGATTAAAGGCAACGTATATAATTATACGCATCATGGTAGGAGAATTTTGAACATGCATGTGAGAAAGAAGAAGAGGCAAATAGAGGGCATACTTGTTAGATTCACCTAAGGTTTGGACACAATTATAATCATCAGATTCATCCTCAGACCACCAAACCTGTTAAATAAAACACAAGTATTGCAGTTAAATGCTTATAAGTGGATATGACAGAACGTTTTAGCATGGTGTACAATTCTGTCAAAGCAGATTAGAAGAATTGTTATCTTTACCTTGATAGTGTTATCATAACTGCAAGAGAACAAAACATTCATAGTGGGATGCCACTGGACCATCTTAACATCTCCTTTATGATCAGTTAATATTGCAGCACAATCAAATTCATTATCAGGTTGTATCTCCCAAATCCAGACAGCCTTGTCTCTACCACATGTTGCAAGCAACGAACCAGATGCATTCCATGATACACTTTTGACTTCGCTTTCATGTCCCTGCATAAGAATATTCCACGAGATACTAAAGCTCAAGAAACCAAGAACAAATACATATAGTAGCATGCATCAAGGATTGGAAAGTTCCCTTGGGCAATTTTAAGTAGGTACCTGTAAAACGGATATACACTCGGAGTCAGTAGCAAAGTTTTGCCAAACGCAAGTATTGCCATCGAAACTTGCAGTGGCCAATAACTTCCCAGAAGGTGACCAAGCACACGACTTTACACTTCTTGTGTGCGTGCCTTCCAAAACTGCCTAACCAATCACACCAAGCTTCATTCATTAGTGACCTTTAATTATCTTACTTGCATGCCAATAAACTCGAGAGAGAGAGAAGATAGAAACCTTGCATGTCCAGGAACGAGAGAGAGAGCTCTGCTCCCAGATTCGCACGGTCTTATCGGCGCTGCAGGAGGCAAGAACACCGGCGCCGGCGGCGGGATTCCAGGCGACGTTCCAAACACGATCAGTGTGACCTTCAAGCTTATCAACCTCCAACAACTCCAGTGTCATCTCCGGACTCGTTTGATCAAATTCAGCAGAGGAAGCCTACCAATTTCGACCAAAAATCAAACTTTGCTATATATCAATATTTATAGAAAATTTATATATCAGCCCGTCGATCCGAATAAACAAAAAGTAAGCCTAGTAATATAATTATATAGCATACTGTTAAAGTGTAATTTCCAATAACTTTTAAGCTATATACTGTACACCCTCTAATTAGAACTTAAGCCCGCGGGTTAATTCAGCCCGATCCTGAAAAATATCGGATCCGGATTTTAAAATATAAGTTCCGATATTTTTTGGGCCGGATTCAAATATACGAGGACTTTACGGATTTCGGGCCGGACTATCCCGATTGACATACCTACACTCTCCCAAAATATTCACTATTTTTTTTGTTAAATTTCAAGAAAAAAATAAAGGCATCATATATGAAAATAGTTGGAAGACATGATGAACATGTAATATGATTGAGTTGTTTTCGGAAGAAATATTCTTTATTTTATCTAATCTTATTTGTAAATTAGCTTTCTCTTTTTTTTTTTTTTTTCCTTAAGAAGAAAAGAGAGATAATGAGAAAGAAATTGAGTGTCTTATAGGGTGAACCCGTAAATAAGTAGTTACGTTTCGGTCTTGGTCGTACGAGTTTCATCCGATGAAACACGAATCCGTGTGTTTGGGAACATATATGTTATGTTTAGGTTGTCTTGATGATAGATCAATATCATAATTAAAAGGATTCCGAGTGAGAGAGGTCATGTGCCGTGAGCGTTTATAGATTGGTTAGTGTCGAATCATTCTAATTAGACGCACTTTTTGTCATAGGATTTTGTAAACGATTTTTAGTTAAAAAGTTTTGAAGATTGAGAACCCTCGAACAGTCGAACTAAGTTAAGTAGGTTTTCAAGTCCCAAAACATTATCATTATTCTTACGTCGATGAACTTGTATTAATATAAGCAAGGCATATAACCTTAACGAGAACTTAGGATGATTTGAAACATAGAATAGTTAAAGCCAAATGACTTGGGAAAAGTAGACGACTTCAGATTAAAAACGTTCAAAGGAAGTCTATATGGTAGCTTAGTCATCTGCTGGTGCTTGCGTCCGTCGATGAGTTCCATGTACGTTTTCTCATTTCATAGAAAAAGCCTTACAAGTTCTTGTTTGGACTATTAGATAAAAAAAGAAAAAGAAAAGTAACTTTCTCCTTTATAATTTTTTTTTGGCCTAGGAGGACCCAAAAGTTATGAACACGGGTCTAATAGTCTAACATTTGTAAGTGTTATTGATTAAGATCGTAGGCATGATAACACAGCATTCCAAGCTTCAGTAGTCGGTAGGGGCAGTTCCTAGTGTTGTTGATATTATTCTGCTTTTAAGTTGTCTAACTCTTTCTCTTTGGTGAACTTTATAAGTTCCGTTTTTAACTCTTTGAATAGTAGTATTATATAGAATCGTAGAAATTATCTGTGATTTTTGAAAAATGGGAAACGAACAAGTATATAAATGATTTGTCCTAAACGAAACCACAATAACTGTGTCTCCAAAATCAATATCCAATTTTGGTTGGAGTGGGCATACAGGAACAGGATACTTGTCCTTTACCCTTTTGTTGTCTCATTGTTAAAGGCAAGGTACCAATTAAACAGATCACCTAAGTTATTAATGGTCAACTGTTATACTTGTTTAATTATTGTATTAGTAGACTATTAGTTTATTGGTGTATAAAACGATACACTAGAAATTTAATCATGCGTTTATGCCTTATGGCCACACTCAACTCTGGTTGTAAAAATCTAGCCATCCTTAAATTGAAAAGAAAATTAAAAAATATCAGATATGCATATCTCACTATTATGGTCTACGAGTAAAATAGAGTTTCAGCTCATATCATGATTAGCCATGATAATAAGACGTAACATATAACGACACATTGAACCAAAAGAGAGAGAGAGAGGGGAAAAGAAAAAAAAGATTTTGATAAGAAAGGAACAATCAAAGAAAAGGCCAAACAAATTGATTGATATATATATATATATATATATATATATATATGTTTTTGGTTTGTAAAAAAGCTTACGTAAAAAAATAAAGAAGTTATAGGAAAAAATACGAAAATGGATATAAGATTTGATGGCACAACACAAAGACACGAGTGGTGGAGAAAAGAAGGAAAAAGAAAAGAAGCGAAATGGATCACACATCTCATCAATTCTCCTTAAATGGCTAAAAAAGATCTCACCTCTTCTCTTTCTTTTTTCCCCCTTTTTTCTGTTTTGTGATAATTGAAACCAGCCAACACTACAAGCCAACCCCTCTCTATTTTTTTTTTTCTTTCTTCTTTCTTATTATTATAAAATCAAAATTATGTACTCTTTTTTTTTTTTTTTTTGGTTTTGTGTCTCTATGACTCTGTCTAGTAAGCTATGCATGCACACACACACATACATACATATATCATAATTGTATGTATAGAGGAGAGACATGTAAATAGTAAAAGGTAGGGTCTCTTCCCAAATTTAAAGCCTGCAACAGAAATGAGTGCACTTCTCTGTAGTAAACAGTAACACATCGGTCTTCTTCATGTCTTTCTTTTGGGATTTCTTTTTTGGATTTTGGATTCGCTCTCTCATCCTTTTATTTTCTTGATAGACAAATATTTAGATGAATGAAGAAGCTCTTCATCTCTTTCTTTCTCTATGTGTATATATATGATCATCATCCATTTTAATTAAAGAAGCAACAAAATAAAAACATTTTATTACTATAAAGATTTGGTTCTGAAGATCTAAAAGATTTGAAAATGGATTCGTGTCATATACAGAGGGAGCTCCGTACGTGATTTGGCCCTCCTTCTTTTCAACCTTTCTTCTTTCTTGCATTTTTAAAAATATTTTGCCTCCCCCATCCCTGAATTATATTATTTGTTTTAGTAATAAAATGTTACTATATGTATATCTAGTGCTCTGAATCTTCTACTGAGGCAGATGATGATGATGAAGAAGATTCTGGTTTTCTTCTTCTTCTTCTTCTTCTTCTTCTTCATGAAAATGTAATTCCATTGAAAGTAAGTAAACAAAAGTTTTTATTTTCATAGTTTGCGTTCTCATGCAAAACAGATTAATCAGACTCACTTTTCTCTTTTTCAGTTTTGTTTTTGCCCTTTAATTTTTTATATATATAAATAATTTCTCCTTTTTGGTTCTCTTTTAGGAACGAACATATAGAGAGAAGCTGCGGAATGAAAGTACACTGTTCTTTCACCGAGAAAGAAGAGCAATAAACAGAACTTTCTTCTTCAGATTTAACACACATTTTGGAAATTTTCATGTTTAGAAAATTCTGTTTGGAACGTTTTGTTGTGTGCTGAGATCTTCCCAAGGGTTCTTAATTATCAGAAGAAGAAGGATAAAAGGCAAGTTCTACACTTTTATGTTCCTATGGACATTTGTAGTAATCTAAAGCTTTCTTTTTTACTCTCTACTAGTTCACTGTTTTCACAGGTATCACAGTGTGAAAAATATTATTGGTCTGTGTGTATATGTGTAATATCATTGAGCATTTAGTAGTTACTGCTTTCATTAACTCATGCTTCCTTTCACATTATTAACCTATTAGATATTTTTTAATGAATTTATTTAATGGCATAGTGATGATGTTCTCTGTCTCTCTTGCAGCATTTCAACATTTAGTACTATTCTCCAAAGATTTGGTTAGTTTCCGAGATCTTCTGATAAAATAAATCCCTTGTCTGAGTCTTTATTAAATACTTTGTCTTCTTCTTGCTAATGCAGTCTCGTTGAAACCCAATGGACAACGACAACACTTTTACTTCTCTGGACAATGTCATGGCCAACCAGAACCCTCTTCTCATGGATTTTATACCTTCAAGAGAAGATTCAACTCCTTTTTCAACAATGCTTCCGTGGAACTCCATCAGATCAGATCCTCTTCAAATGGCTGGCTTTGATTTCTTCAACTCTATGCTCACTAACAAATATTTATCATCTTCTTCACGATCTTTCGATGACGTTCAAGAAAACCGCAATGTCGAAAGCTTTGAGGTCATGGCTCCTCCTCCTCCTCCTCCTCCTTTGGATCATTTTAGACCTTATGATGACTCCTCAAACAACCTGTGGGGTTTTGAAGGAAATAGTGAGTTTCAGACATATTCTGGTGTTGTTGGTCCAAGTGAACCAATGATGTCTACATTTGGTGAGGAAGATTTCCCGTTTCTGATTTCGAATAAAAGAAACAATGAGCTTTCATTGAGTCTTGCCACTGATGTTTCTGATGAATGCTCGGAGATAAGTCTTTGTGGTGCTACTAATTTAGCCTCAGAGCAAGCTTCTTGCAGCAGCAAAGACATTTCTACTCAGAGTTTCTCTCAACTTATATTTGGCTCCAAGTATCTTCACTCTGTTCAAGAAATATTATCTCATTTCGCCTCATACTCGCTCGATTATTCATCTCGTGGAACGGAATCCGCGGCTGCTAGTTCAGCCTTTCATTCACGTTTTGAGAATCTAACCGAGTTTCTTGATGATGATTCTAATAACTCAGAGGCGGAGTTTGGATCTACATTGCAAAGAAGAGCACTAGAATCACAGAAAACACATCTTCTTGATCTTCTACAAATGGTACTATATATTTCACATTTTTACATTACTTAAAGAAATGGTTTTGATTTGAGTCGGTGTGTTTTCTTTCCTTCAGGTGGATGATCGATATAGTCATTGCGTAGACGAGATTCATACGGTTGTATCAGCGTTCCATGCTGCAACCGAGTTAGATCCGCAGTTACACACCCGGTTTGCCCTCCAAACCATCTCCTTCTTATACAAGAACCTGAGAGAGAGAATCTGCAAGAAGATACTCGCAATGGGATCTGTATTGGAGAGAGGCAAAGACAAGTCTCAAGAGAACTCCATGTTCCACCAGCATTGCCTTCTCCAGCAGCTGAAACGAAAGAACCATCAGATATGGAGACCGCAGCGAGGTTTGCCTGAGAAATCAGTATCAGTTCTACGGACTTGGATGTTCCAAAACTTCCTTCACCCGTAACAATCCTTGCTCTTCTCAACCCTTCTTTATGTAGACCTTGTGTTAACTCGAATGAATTTATAAGAAAATTTATGCTGTATTGATTGCAGTTACCCAAAAGATTCGGAGAAACATCTTCTAGCTATACGAAGTGGCTTGACAAGAAGTCAGGTAATGTCTCATCTTTGTTTACTTATGCAATGAATCATATTGATAATATCTTTGCTCACAATGATAGCAAATTTGGCATACTAAGATGAGATTAAAGGCTAGGGAAATATCAAGCTTTTCTCTTGAATTACAAATGAGACTAGATGATTTACTCGTGAATCCACAATAACAAGTCCTAAGATTGTAGTCGCACATATGTTTTGTTACTCAAGTCTTCTGTTGTGTGTGATTAAAGGTATCAAACTGGTTTATAAATGCGCGGGTTAGGCTATGGAAGCCGATGATAGAAGAGATGTATGCCGAAATGAACAAGAGAAAGCTCAATAACAGTCACCTTCAACCAAACGGAGCAACTCTCCGAATGCCAAAGTCTGTTATGATGAGCCAAGCAATGCACAAATAAGAGAACGTTTGTGTTACAGCTCGTGTTAGGCAATTGTTACTCTATGATTGCCCAAATACTAAAGCAGTTACTACTATCATTACTTATGTTATAATTGTATATACAACTTCCTTCTTTTGTCTTGACTATTTCATTTCATTATCCTGTGTTTTAATCATTATATCATCCTCATCAAACTCATCACCAAGTTTACATAAAATAAGTTCATGAAAATTTCTGAAAGCTATGTATTCACCAGTGGAGGATATACATTTTTTGTTTTCGTTTTCCATAACGTATTCATAGGAACCGACGTCGTATTTTGGTTTGACTGAGGAGTCAACTAAGTGAAACGCAGCGTTTTGATCTCGTACGAACAAATTAGAAAGTAGTAGAAAAGCAAAACTCTTTGCCACACTGAGGAAGGAAGAAAGTGTAAAGACGGAACTTTTGACGACGGCGAATGGAGGAAGACAGGGCGGCCGTGACCGGAGATGTTGCGTCTCGAGAGACGACGGAACCTAGCGAGGACATACTCATGTGCGTCGACGTTGATGCGGAATCTACGGTGGAGATGAAGACGACTGGTACTAACGGTAGGCCTCTTAACAGACTAGAGTGCGTCAAGCAAGCCATTACTCGCTTCATTCACGACAAGCTCGCCACAAACCCCAATCATCGTTTTGCTTTCGCTACCCTCTCCAAATCAGCCGCTTGGGTAATACTTTCTCCCTGAGCTCTCTTTATGTTAGGTTGCTTTTGCTTTCGAGTATGCATGGTCCTTAGATGTCAAATTTGGTGGAATTCGTGATCTTCACTGGAAAATGCTGTTTCTTTTGTAAATGTGTTGAGACTTGAGAGAATCACATTTGATGTATTGCATACGCTTCACTAGTGAGTCTGATAAAGTTGAGGTTTTTATTTGATGTTTCAGCTTAAAAAGGAATTCACCAGTGATTTTGAATCTGCTGCTGCCTCCCTAAGAGAAATGTCAGCTACTAAATCCTCTGGTTCAGCGGATCTCACTCTTCTGTTCGAGGAAGCGGCTCAGGAAGCCAAAAATTCCAGAGCACAAAACCGAATTTTGAGAGTGGTAAGTTTTATTTTGTTTAAAAACTATCTCCTCTAGCTACAGCGTGTAAAACTAAGGTGCTTTACTGATTTCATTTAAGTTTTTGCTCTTCAGATTCTCATATACTGCAGGTCATCCGTGAGACCAACCTATGATTGGCCCGTAAACCAGAAGCTTTTCACATTGGATGTTTTGTACCTACACGACAAGCCGGGTCCTGATAACTGTCCTCACGATGTCTATGACTCTCTTGGTGATGCTATAAAGCGTGTTTCAAAGTATGGAGGTTACATCTTTGAGAGCGGTCATGGGCTTGCACAGTCTGTTTTCAAACGTATGTCAACATTGTTATCACATCCTCCTCAAAGATGTGCTCAAGTCGATCTCCCCAAGCCCCCTGCAAAGAAGGTGACTGCAGCTAAGATGGCAAATGCTTTTATGACTTTTCTCTTCTTGTGCTGTTACTGATAAGTCTGATATTCTTTATTTATTTTTTCAGCCAGCTGTTTCCTGTGGTAAGTCAGCCTCGTATTCAAAGAAACGAGCGATGCAACCGTTAGGAAAAACTCCTAATACAAACACAAAGAGAACACACAGCCCAGGCAAAGACAAAGTATGGTTGTTCCTTTCACGTGTTATTACTGTTATATTAAAGGATTGTGGAAAACTCCCATGGTTTACCAATTGCTGATTGCAGTAATAACTATTGCATGGCTTCAGCTTCTTATTCTCTTTTATCCATACTAGTTTCATTTGCTCGAGACGAGTTAAAAAAAAAAAAAAAACCTTGTAGACCCATGCTGAATCAATTCCTTGACAGGCATCTAATCTCAAAAACTATGATGAAAATTTAGTTGGGTCGAGGGTCAAAATCTGGTGGCCTTTGGATAAAGCGTAAGTATTTTGTATTTTCTTCTTTAAAATACGTCTTTGATTTTATTTATTCTATCTGTGCTGTCTTTTCCATTACTAGCTGAATCTGGACTAGCACCTCAGATGGTTGCATTTCTGTCGACTACGCCTGTAAATGAGTATTGGATGTTTACCACAGGTATTATGAAGCTGTGGTCAATACATATTATTCTGCTAAAGATAGACATCGGGTATAGCCAATTACATCACTCTCCAACATAACTATTTCCGTTGGTTGTTGGTTCATTAGCCTACTCCTAAGTGATACACATATGGTTAATTTGATATAGATCATTGATAGTATGTTATATTTGATATATGCTGCTGCTGCTATGTTTGTTTTCAGGTTCGTTATGTTGATGGAGACGAAGAAATCTTGAATATGAGAACTGAAAAGTGGTATTTTGTGAATAAATCCAAATTGTCAAAGGTAGGGAATATATCTCTCATCTCTGGGTTTTCTGTTTTGTTTCATTCTCCAGTTTGTTTATGTTTCCGCATTTTATTTCAGCAGGATAAAGAAGCTAATCAAACGGGATGTGATGAAGAAGCCTCCACAATGTAAGCATTACTTCTCTAGTTCCTGTGTGTTTGTGTCGCTGGAGTCTAGATGTGAACTGTTGTTATGAGATAAACTTGATGTTCTTGTGACGACGCTGGTATAGCTACTGTTCTTGATGTTCATCCAGGCCTCAGAAGAAGAAAGCTAAGACAACCAAGGAACAGTCAACTAATAAGCAATCAAAGATACCATCTTCACCTTGTAATAGAAAGGATGATGAGGTTATACATGGATAAGTTCTTAGTTTCTTACCATTTTTATTTCAGCAACCAATCTCTTTTTGTTTTAGTCTTTCAACTTATTGTCCTCAGGTTGCCCAAATATCACGGAGCCAGGCAAAACAAGTTCTCAGTAGCTGTGCTAGCCAGCTCAAAACGTATATGACAGAAGCAGTGAAATCATCGAGCGTCTCCTTGGATAAGCACAGTGATGTAGTGGATTCAATATGTGAAGGGGCATTTGATGCTTTGAAGCAGGAAGAAATTGTGGCTAATGAAAAAGAAGTAAGCTCTCACCTGTACAGTATCAAACTACCTATTATTGTTTGTAGATAGTATACTTGCATCATGTGTTTCATACGAATGAAGGTGGTTTTAAGTACCAATGGTTATGAGAGTCGTCTACTTTCATTTTCTCTCTGAGAGTTCTAGAAATCTGTGTCTTCTGCAGGACTTTCAAGGGCCAAGGGAATCGGCAGTTGAGGCATGCTTCTTCCATCCTGAAACCAGCATTGAAACACTGAAATTCGTCATATGTAAAAGAAGTCTTTCTCACTCATGTTGGAAGTGGATTGTTAATTGTAAACTTATTTTCCAATCAGCAGGAACAACAGAAGGCAGCAGAAGTTCCGACCCCTGAGCTAACTTGTGTACCTGAGAGGAGACTTAATCTGGAGCATTCATTAAGTTTTTGTCCTCATGAGTCATCTGTCAGTGCAGCTATTTCGTCTAAGAATGAGAATGGACATAAGGCAGTGTCCCCGCGATGTGAAAAAGTGGCTATTGGTGGAGTAGAGACTCAGGAAAGGAAAATCCTTGAGATGGTTCAACAACCAGTGGCTGAAGAAGAGGCAGACACTGAGACTCAGGCAGACAAGCAAGCTCAAGTCGCAAGCTCCAGCCATAAAAATGCCTACGGGGAGATGGATAAGAAAGCTGCAGAAGGAGAAACGTTTTGCCGTTCTCACAAATCCAGTGCTGAGCCTGGAGACGTGCATCCCATGAAACCCACTCAATCTTGCTGCGTCACACAACAGCTGGCTAAGGTGAAACAGAGCATTTTAGACACAATAGCCAGTGTAAGACAGTTTCGCTGTGAGCTGGAGACAAAGGAACAGAGCATTGTAGACACGCTAAGCATCGTAAGACAGTTCCGTTGTGAGATAGAGAAAAAGGAAGACAACCTTGAAGATTCACTTGTGGAAATTGACGTGTTAGGTATGTGATCTGAACACTAGTCTTCTTGTTTTAGTGTGTTTTGTATTGGTTCTAGACTCTGATAATGTGATGTCGTAACAATTAGGGGAGAAGATATTGGAGATCAACAAAATCCTCAACTGAAGAGGAGGAAGTGGACTGCAAACTCTCCTTTCTTTGTTTTTGGTATCCTGAACTAGTTCGACGATGGAGTTATAAGTAGTTGACCAGAGAGAAGTTTTTTTTGTATAGCGTTATCTCTCAATCAAGTTTATTAAAGACAGTTGATTTCGGATGGTAATAAGGGGTTAGTTGATTAGTTCTCGACCCATAACGTTGGAAACATAATTAAGAAGAAAGTTATAATTAATGTTGGCCATATCACAAACGTAAATTAAATTCAGAAAACTATCAAAACGGCGTCATATTACTTGACTTATTGTCTTTGGTCAAACTACCTAAAACGCAGCGTTTTGATGATCTCGGAGGAACAACTAGAAAAGTGGGAGAGAGAAATCTCAAGAACATCGACGGCGAAGGAATGGAGGAAGAGAGAGTGGCCGTGGCCGGAGGTGTAGCGAGTCGATACGCGCTTAAAGCGGGGCGTATAAAAAGCGAAGACATACTAATCTGCATCGATGTAGATGCGGAATCGATGGTGGAGATGAAGACCACTGGAACAAATGGTAGGCCTTTGATCAGGATGGAGTGCGTCAAGCAAGCCATTATTCTCTTCGTTCACAATAAGCTCTCCATCAACCCTGATCATCGCTTTGCTTTCGCTACTCTCTCCAAATCAGCTGCTTGGGTATCTTCTTTCTCTCCGATTCTACTTTGATTCAATGTTGCGTCTTTAATTTGGGGATTTCTTTTGATTTTTTTAAAGTATGCTCCTCAGATTTTGATTTCTTTTAACTGAGAAATTTGGAATTTATGATGTTTATTGGATAGAAATTTCAAAATCAGTTATTAGATGTTAAGATGAATAAGGCTATAAAGTTATGTTTATTGGATATTTGCATTTGGTTGTGAGTTTCTCTGTTCATCTTCTTAGATGATGTTACTGAAAACGTATGGTCTACTTGATTTTGCTTCCCTTTGTTGCTTTTGTTGGTCTCTCGTTAGTAGTTGAAGGAAGCCTTCGTTACTCAAGAAGCAAATTGTATTTTGCGATAGTCGGAACTTTTTTTGAGTACTAAACATCATGATTCATTTTGTTCATTGGTCCTTCCATATCAAATCCTAGAATCCTCAATCTTTACCTGATTGAAACCTGATGTTTATTTTAACCTGATAATGGTGTTCTTGTACTGTTTGTAGTAGCCTCTAAATGTGTTGAGAGAATCTCATTTGATGCTTAACTTGAGCTTGAATAGTAAATGTTGTGTGTGAAAACAAGTCAATGTGGTTCATTAAACTTTTGTTTAAATCCTCTCTCCACTCTTCTTTCTTTGACCGTTTCATTTGAACTGAACTTCAAACCTTCTATGTTTCAGCTTAAAAAAGATTTCACCAGCGATGCTGAATCTGCTGTTGCTTCCCTAAGAGGATTGTCAGCTAATAAATCCTCTAGTCGAGCGGATCTCACACTTCTCTTCCGAGCTGCAGCTCAGGAAGCCAAAATTTCCAGAGCACAAAACCGAATTTTGAGGGTGGTAAGTTTTAGGTTGTGCAAATACGATCTTCCTCTAGCCACAGCCTGAAAAAAAGACCCTATATATATTACTACATTCCCTTGCAGATTCTCATATACTGCAGGTCATCGATGAGACCAATCCATGATTGGCCGTTAAATCAGAAGCTCTTCACATTGGATGTAATGTATCTGCACGACAAGCCAAGTCCTGATAATTGTCCTCAAGATGTGTATGATTCTCTTGTCGATGCTGTAGAACATGTTTCAGAGTATGAAGGTTACATTTTTGAGAGTGGTCAAGGGCTTGCACGGTCTGTTTTCAAGCCCATGTCAATGTTGTTATCTCATCCTCAACAAAGATGTGCTCAAGATGATCTTGACATCCCCAGGTCTCTTGCAAAGAAAGTGCCTGTGACTGAAGCGGCAAATTCTGTAGATGGGAACAATATTCAGATCATAAGCTAATGAAAACATTGTTGTTTTTTTCTTGTATCTTTTGGTTATGACATGGTTGTAATGTGCGCATGTGAAAAATAATCGAAAACTAGTGACAACTTGTTCTAGATCCATCAAGTAAGAAACTCAAATGTCCAAATGAATATAAATGTTTTTCTTATTGTTACAGAAAATACCTCAAAGAGTCAAGACCTTAAAAGTGTTCTATAACAAAGGCGAGTTGCAATATTATTTGAGCTATCTTATTTTAGAAATATATATATATACACCAATGTGATGAATTATATGTCTAATAATAGCATCTAAATAATTGAATTATGTAACTAACTCTCATCTCTTATCCCTTATCCCTTGTCCCGATAAGCATATCAGCAAACTCTTCATATGAATTTATACACAAAGTGCATGCAACACGTCGTTTTGTGCCGGATCGGCCGACTAAATAACTAACTATTAACATAGTATGATAATTATTTTGTTGGAGTTAATTGTTTCATAGATAAATAATACACAGATGGATATGTTAGTTAATGGGAATGTGTGGCTGTGATGACTTGTGAGAGAACAAGCTTACTACGAATATTTATAATCTTATGTTGTAGTAAAGTCAACACATTAATCAAGTTGTTTGAAAAACAAATATATTTCAGAAAACAATAATTATTGTTATTTCTGCCGTTCTTATGTCAGCATGGCATATGATGACATTTTATAAAATTTGATTTGGGAAAATAACAACACGTAAATTAATGTGTGCAATCTTGTTTAGGCCAAAAACAAATTTACGTACGAGTGATATGGTCGCCACTTGCCACACGAAATTTTAAGAGCCAACATAGTGCAACCAAATATATCACAAACAACATATTTTTTTTACTAATTTTCATAAACCGGCAAAAGGCATATATATAATCCGGTTTGTTTGTTTTCCTTTTTTTTTTATATATATCTTGATTTGTCGATTACCCCAATTTGATTATCGAAAGAATATGTTGCCATGCATGTTGCTTGTGGCTTGTGGCTTGTGGCTTGTGGCATTAGAATGACGATGCCAACATGTACGGTATTCGTTCTCTCTCACGATATATGTAATCTAATGAATCTATTAGAGGCCTTTTGTACGGCCTTATTAGAATATGCAACCAAAAAAAAAATGAGTTTTTAATATAACGTTTGACTAAAATTATTAAAATTAGGAATCCAAATAAATCAAAGATAGGAATCCTACAAGATGACACATCATGTGCCTTTCTAATTGAGTAGCGGGGTAGTCTACGAATTGTTTGTTATATTTGACTTTTATATCTCACGAACATTAAAAAAACAAAAAATAATAATATATTAGTCTACACTTGTTAATCTTTTTTGGAGACGATCGTCGATCGACAATATTAATAATCTTAACAAATCTTTTTTTCTCTTCAAAGTTACATAATATAATTATAGTAATGGGTAAAATGAAGGCTGAATCCAATGTAAGGAAATAAAAAGATAAATATAGTTGTAAAGCGTATAGACAAATAGATATAGAGAATATATAGTTCTGTATTTTGAAAGAAAAAAAAAAAGAAAAGAATAAGAGAGCAAGTAGTTCATTTATATAATAAGAAGTAAAGAAAATTATTGATAAAAAGGATGTGAGAGTTGACTTGGCCGATTGTATCGTTTGATATGTCCAAAAGGCCAGGAGAAGCTGTCTTAAACCTAATTTACTAATTACAAAGTACATTCGTCACTCTTTTTTTCTCTATAAATATATCAAAAGAAATAAACTGTTTTTTTTTGTTACAATATTGCATCAATATAGTTTCTTAAGTAATTCATTTATTATTTGTAAAACTATATTAATGCAAGATAAACAATAACCATTACATAAAGTAAATTATTAGAGACAAAATAGCATATTACCATATTCTATCATCATTTTAATACGTTGTCACAACAAAAGCCAACGTCTGATCTGTCATGCTTTCGATTAGTCTATTATATATGTAAATTACTCCATTTCTCTATTTTATTAATCTTTCTTATTTACATACTTAATTAGCAAGTTTAATTTTCTTGGCATAAATGTGTGGATGCATGAATTTTCCTTTGATTAATTAAATAATTTTGACAGCTGAAATATATTTGCGATGCGTCTAAACTTGTAGGCAAATGACACAGCTAGTTGAACAAGAATCCTCGTCGGTAAATTTTTATTGATAATTATTAGTATTCTGGAATATATCAATTAGTAGTTTAATCAAGATACTAATCACACACCACGTCATGTGCCCTTTCATTTGAATATTGGGATATGTAGTTTTTTCAACTATGTATATTGATTCATTGTAAATTGTTGTTATACGTTGTCACTGCCAACAGGAGCCACATAATTGCCATTGCAAATTACACAAGCTTATATTTAATATTCTTAGTTTACTAGATAGAGAAGAGTATTTCAAATAATTCGGTTTCTCATTTAGTCGACACACACAAATTACCTATTCTTTAATTCTAATTGGCGGCAAGTACTACGTACGTGTCACTTCGTAATTATTTGTTTTGACAGTTAATCAAATATATCTGATTAACAATAAGATTCAATTTTCAGCAAATTTGGTTATTAATAAGACTAATAATATATATAGATCGACCGCCTCGAATTGAATTATTCTTCCTAAATGCCCAAAGATACAAGTCATCGAGATGAATATCTATATATATACTTAACCATGTGAAAAAACAAACTATGTATCAATATATTCCTAAGTAAGATTCACAAAAAGGCTATATAAGTGGGTATGCAATAAGCAAAGCCGTGTATCAAACTCTTTCATTTGTTTTATCATCTCTCTCGTCTCTTACATATACAGAAACAACAAACCAAAAAAAAAAAGAGAAGAAAAATGGGATTTTGTTTATGTATATCCTCAGGAGGATCAACAGACCGAAACCAGATTTATGAGATAACTGATTACGGACAAGATAGTGCAGTTTTGTACTCTGACCAACATGATCATGTTCCTCAAGACTTTGGCTCTGTCTCTTCTTTAGCCGGAGGAAAGGGCTTGAACCAAGATGCTGCCATTCTCCACCTGGTACTCAAACTTTCTATCTCTTACCAAATAAAATCATTTTCGTCGTATATACAAATAAATATATGTTTGTCACAAACAAGTAAATTGTATCTAATGAAATGATCATATGATAATTAAATTTGCAGGGATATGGAACAGAAGAAGGAGCGTTATGTGGAGTGTTCGATGGGCATGGAGAGAAGGGTGAATTCGTAAGCAAGATCGTAAGGAGCCAGTTGCCATCTATACTGTTACGTCACATGAATAATCATTCGGTGACTCGAGACTGGAAACTCATTTGCGAAACTACTTGTTTGGAGATGGACAAAAGGATTCTTAAAGTTAAAAAGATTCATGATTGCTCCTCTTCTGGAACTACTGCTGTTTTCGCCGTTAAACATGTATGTTATATCATATCCTTTTTTAATGTTTTTACTACCACTTCATATTATGAGACGATGTTTTATTTTTCAATGCAAGGAAATATAATTCTTGTTTTTTTTTTTAATAGAATTTTTGGTATTAATTAATAACAAAATATAATATGAACAGGGAAATCAAGTGATGGTGGCAAATCTTGGAGATTCAAGGGCTGTGATGATCGGAACAAGTGAGAATGGAGAAACCAAGGTGGTTCAATTGACCAATGACTTGAAGCCAAGTGTGCCAAGTAAGTTAATTCTTGAAGCTAAGTTATACATGTTGTAAACAGTGATACGTATACCGTTTCAATATTGTTAAACAGTTTTGGGTGACTTGACTTTGCAGGCGAAGCGGAGAGAATAAGGAAACGAAACGGAAGAGTGTTAGCTTTGGAGTCGGAACCTCACATTCTTAGAGTCTGGCTTCCAACTGAAAACAGACCGGGCCTAGCCATGTCTAGGGCTTTTGGTGACTTCCTCCTTAAAAGCTACGGAGTCATTGCAACTCCCCAAGTCTCTACCCATGAAATCACTTCCCGCGACCACTTTCTACTCCTTGCTTCTGACGGGGTACGTCAATCTAAAACCTAAATCATGCCAACTATTGTGGCCCAACCATTTAAGGCTTTTGCTAATTATTTTTATTAAACAAACTAAACCCAAACAATAGGCCTGATCCAAAGTAAAGCCCAAGTTTAAAATAATATTGTAAAATTGAATGGTCCAAGTACAAATAATAAATAATCTCTTGTGTAAAATAGGTGTGGGATGTACTTAGTAACGAAGAAGTAGCTGAGGTGGTGATGAAGTCGGGAAGTGAGGCAGGAGCGGCCAACGCGGTGGCAGAGGCGGCTACAAATGCGTGGGTACAGAAATATCCAACGGCAAAGGTTGATGATATCTCTGTCGTGTGCCTCTCGATCAACAAAAAGCATTGCCCTCAGCCACAAATATGAAATATGAATGAATACTCCTCTTGATAAACCCCACTTGGTGAAAGAGAAAGCAAAGGGTAATGACACGACAGCTCACTCAGTACTTTTGTGTTTCGTTCGCCTATGAGTGATTGTGACTGTGCGTATATATATATCTATATATACTGTCGTATGTAAAGTCGTGTGATTATTTATTAGGAGACTAAAAAAAAGAAGGAAGAAGATTATAATTAGGGATGGATTGTGTCGTGGGGTAAAAGCAACAAAGACTAGAGACATTTATGGGGGACACACGTCGTTGGAATCTAATGTTGTATAGCTTTTGGACTGGCTCAGATTAGTTCAACTTGATTCTGTAATAGCTATATAAAAATAATTGATAATAACATATAACAAAATGATAAGTACTGATTTGAAAAAAATGACACAAGACACAATTATGGATGCCTTTGAGTTTGATATGCTTAGAGATGTCAGTTGAAGTTAGTGGAAGAAAACAAAAGTCAGTTGCCGAAATATCCAAAAACAAAATGATCATTTTCGTTACTTCCCATTTGCTATGTTGTTATAGAGACACACTTAGAAATTTTCGTTAAAAGGAAAAGATTCCATATCATGTTGCCCCACGAAATTTGGCATTTTCATCAATTTCAAAACCTAAACCATGTTTTTAAAATTCTTTACGTTATTACCAATTTTCATTCACCTTGAAATCGTTTTGGTGTTTATACACGTTTGACATACTCACCACAATACATATAATATTAGCCTATTTTTTATGCTTTTGCATGAATTTCATGATCTTCTTTTAAAATCAAATAATCTCTTTTTTACTCATGAATTTTGTGAGAAAAATAAATGAAAGAACTTTAAAAATGTACCTATATATAATTGAACACACGTCTATTTCTTTGACAATGTAAGCAAAGAAGAAAAAAACAAATAGAAAATTGGCAAGCCAATGTTAAAGAAGGAAGTGTCATCACGCAATAGAACTGATCAAAATAGGTCTAAATGTGCAAATATAAACATTTATCGTACTAGATATGTAAATATATCGAATTATATTTTAGGTTGCGTGTTTTATTATATAAAGCAAACCAAACGAACGAATGTGTTCTCCAATCAGATACAAGATTCAACTATTACTTTAATACTTCGGCGCCCCTTTATATTTTTTTTTTAAAAAAAGAAGAAAAGAAAAGATTCCTATCAACATCATCATCATCACTCGGTGTCAACGATGACACGTCTCACCGTCGGCGTTCTTTTTCTCTCGCTGATTGCTCTCTCCGCCGCGAGGAATGGTCCTGATGATGTTATCAAACTCCCTTCTCAAGCTTCTCGCTTCTTCCGTCCTCCTGAAAACGACGCCGGTACTAGGTGGGCTGTTTTAGTCGCCGGTTCGTCCGGCTATGGGAATTACAGGCATCAGGTACTCTCTCCATTCCTCTGTTTTTTTTATTACATAAAACTTGCTCCTTTCAACTAATCGAAGTTTGTAGCTTAGTTAGTAGAGTAATGAGTTTTACTAACTTTTCAGGCTGATATTTGCCATGCTTATCAACTTCTGAGGAAAGGTGGATTGAAGGAAGAGAATATTGTGGTGTTCATGTATGATGATATTGCTAACAATTACGAGAATCCAAGACCTGGAACCATTATCAACAGCCCTCATGGAAAAGATGTTTATCAAGGAGTTCCCAAGGTCTTTTCGATTTCCTTACTCTTTTCGGGTTTTCTAGTTCTGCTGTTGCAATTTGGTTTACTTAATTTGGTTTGGATTTCAGGATTACACTGGAGATGATGTCACTGTTGATAATCTATTTGCTGTCATCCTTGGAGACAAAACTGCTATCAAAGGGGGAAGTGGCAAGGTTGTGGATAGTGGTCCAAATGATCATATCTTTATATTCTACAGTGACCATGGTGGTCCTGGAGTTCTCGGTGAGTTCAGTAAAGACCAAGAGTGGATGGTTTGGAACAAACGTATTGATGGTTCTTTGTCTTTTATTTGCAGGCATGCCGACTTTTCCTTACATATATGCAAATGATCTCAACGATGTTCTGAAGAAAAAACATGCTTTAGGAACCTATAAAAGCTTGGTAAATCGCCAAGGTTCCTCTGAAATACTTTTTTTTTTTTTTTTCTGTTCCTGCGAGTAAATATTAAAAGGCAAACCTGCAGGTGTTTTATCTTGAAGCTTGTGAATCTGGAAGTATCTTTGAAGGGCTTCTTCCAGAGGGTTTGAACATCTATGCCACAACTGCATCGAACGCCGAAGAAAGCAGTTGGGGTACCTATTGCCCTGGAGAGGAACCTAGTCCTCCACCGGAGTATGACACTTGTTTAGGTGACTTGTACAGTGTTGCTTGGATGGAAGATAGGTAAGCTGAAGAATACCAATAGGAGTAGCAGTTTTCTATTTTCTCATGTTTATGAATCTCTATGGATGTCCCATATATTGATTCTGGTTTGTTAAAAATGCAACAGTGGTATCCACAACTTACAGACTGAGACTCTGCAGCAGCAATATGAACTTGTAAGCTTCTAGCTCCTATGGAAAGATGGAGACAATGGTTTCTCAGCTGTAAATTAGATTTCTAGCAAATATGTGTATCATAAGTGTGCCTTTGTGTGTCTCAGGTAAAGAAGAGGACTGCACTTGATGGGTACTATTATGGTTCTCATGTCATGCAATATGGCGATGTAGGACTTAGCAAGGATAAGCTCGAAATTTATATGGGAACAAACCCTGCCAACGAAAATTCCACCTTTGTGGACTCGAATTCACTGAAGCTACCTTCAAGAGTTACAAATCAGCGTGATGCAGATCTTGTCCATTTTTGGGAAAAGGTTATTTGCCTATTCTTGTTTGTATCTTTTGGACACTCAGTGGCTTCTTGGATTGCTAAACACAAGTTCTTTTGCGTGTTATTGTTTCATGAAGTACCGAAAAGCACCAGAAGGTTCCTCAAGAAAAGCAGAAGCTCAGAAACAAGTACTTGAAGTCATGTCTCACAGACTTCATGTTGACAATAGCGTGATACTAGTCGGAAAAATCTTGTTTGGCATTTCGAAAGGTCCACAAGTGCTAAATGAAGTACGGTCTGCTGGGCAACCGCTAGTTGATGACTGGAACTGCCTCAAAAATATGGTAAATAAATACGTCACTTGCTCCTTAAGACTTTGTTGTGTCAATCTTTATCATCAGCCCTTATGGTTAGTATTGAAAAACGTATCGGTATAGTCGTGGGATCATATCCATCAGAAAACATAGGATGGAAAAAATCTCAATAGAGGTTGTGGAGCCCAACACTCTATTATTAGCCACTTGAGTTGCTACTAAATTGTCAATAGAAATCACTTCATAAATCTGGGCCATACTGATTGTGACGCAGCACTGACTCTGTTTACTCTTATCTTATGTTTATGAAATAGTTACCAAATTACAAACTCATTGACTTATGTTTATGTTTCATATAGAGAACAACTGCATAACCTCATTGTGTGTTTAGGTGAGAGCTTTTGAGAGGCACTGTGGATCGTTGTCTCAGTACGGTATCAAGCACATGAGGTCTTTTGCAAACTTCTGCAACTCAGGGATCCAAATGGAGCAAATGGAGGAGGCAGCTTCACAGGCTTGTACCACAATCCCACCTGGTCCTTGGAGCTCGCTTCACCGCGGATTCAGTGCATAAATGATAAAACCCTAAGCCCTCTTCACATTTGTTTATACTACCAATCGTCATAGCCAAACTATTCTTATTTCGATTAGTACTGTTTGAATCCAGTATTCTCTGTAAATTTCACTATCCTTTCTCTGTTCAGTGTATAATCTCAAATTATCTATTTGCCTTGTACAAATGCTTGTAAAACTAAAGTTAATGTATAGATTATACTATAGAAGGTTTGTTTATAATCTTCTTGAAATTCTCAAACTTATGGATGAGTTACTTATTGTAGCAGAAACGGCTGAGGAAAGTAGGAAAAGAGTATATTATTTGAACTTGAGTAATGATATTCTCATGGTTTTTACATACACCAAGTGTGTAGTGAATCAGTAAATAGACAGCAGAAACCGACTTTACTTGGTGACGCTGAAGCTTGCACGGAAGTTCGATATCATTACCGGGCACTCTCCCTTCTCATCATACTCTGTGAATTCCTCACCACTCGATAAATCAATCTCATCAAATTTGGTCCCAGATTCCTGTTAAGAACAAAAGAACTCAATTCATGAAAGCTTAAAGTAGTATTGAGCATCAAAGACTACTGGAAACAAATCCAAAAAATGTTGTAGGGAATGAGAACGCTAAGTGAGAGTGATACAACTTACAGCTTCAGCTTTCCAATATCCACCAAATCCGAAATCCACAGGTTCATAGCCACGACAGTCAAAGACCATAAGAGGGGCATGTTCTCCAGCCTCAGAATCTTGCAGAGTTAAAGGTCGACCTTTGCCAGGAATCATGGTCACATTCCCTTCCCTTCCACAGAACTTACACTAGAATAACTCATGGAAACAAACCATAAATTATCAGTATTAAAAACATTGTGCAACTGAACTCAACAGAATAAGAGTGGTTTCGTTTAAGCAGAGAAACAGGTAAGTAATGCCAGGGGGAGATGAGATCATATCCAATATGCAACTTAGCGAAAACCATCAGTTGGATATGTTACGATACAGCTTTAATCCCTAAAACCATTAGTTATATTTTTGGAATCAATCCGGAAAGCAAAAAGAATGATCTTAATTCTTAAACATACATATACTATGAAGAGATAAAGAAAGAGTGAGGCTCGAAATTACCTTCTGTACAAGATGGCAAGTGCCCCTACCTCCCGGAGGAGTAAATGTCTCATTCAAAGTGACACATGTTTCTTTAGGAGTCACCTCTCCACATCTTTCACATTTCAACTAATATACAAGAAAAGGCATTATGTAAATATCCCATAGTGATGGATATGAGGGAGGAAGAATACAAAAATGACTTGTTTTCGCAAACACAACAAAGCAAGATCAAGCAGGAGCACTAGTCATCCCTTCGTATACTCTCATTATATCTGAACTTCAACACTTAAAAGAAACAAAAAGCCCTAGGAAATAGAAGCAAAAAACCCCACTAAATACAGCTCTGTCAGACTCAGTTCCATAGAAATCTGTGATTCAAAAGGCGAAATCAAGAGCGCCTAAGAAGCTCAACTAGTCCAATCAATCATAGAGCCAAAGAAAAACGATGAAAACAGGGAAATCGAAGCATAACAACAGGTGGGTGCGAGAAGGTAAACCTTAAAGAGGTAAGGGAAGTTGGAATCGTCGCAGCCACCGGAAGGCTGGAGATTAGTGAGATTCTCGAGATCAGCGGTGATTTTAAGCACATAGTTCACCATTCTTCTTATTCGTCTTCCTCCTTAAGTTGCTTTCTTTTGTGATCCGTCGTATCATATACTGTATCTCGTGCTGACGACCCCTATCAAACCAAATTATTGCCTTCACATCGTCTCTACTAAACCATTTGTTCAAGTCTCTGTCCATTTTTAGAATTTAGGAGTCATTGAGCTAGAAGAAAGCCCACATTTCAGAAAGCCCAATTTAAGTTTTTTGGTATAATATCTATAACAAAAGAGCCTAATTCTTTGGAAAAAGAGAGAGAGAGCCCAATTGTTTTTGATGGTCTCTTGAGCAAATTTTAAGCTAAATTTTGTTAAGAAATCGCTCTTATATAAAATTTGCGAGATTATCAACAATGATGAAATTTTAAGAGATTTGAGTTTTATTGAGTTTTTAAATGATTTTGATGATTTTAGAGAAGTGCATATGACTTTTGTAAATAACAGTTTTATGCTCTACAAGTTTCATTTGATATTTTATTGTTTTGTTATAACGATTTTAAGGATTTTGACCGACTATAATTTGTTTATGAAATACTAGTTTAGAAACACCATTTATCGAAAACCCATTGAAATGGCAAAATAAATAACAGATTAATGCATCAAAATTAAATATTTGAAAGTATACAATACCTTTGGATCTGAACTTAATTTATCAAACAAAAATCATAGCACTATAAACGCTCAACATTATTAAAAGAAAGAACACTGCAAAACTATTATTAAGAATTCATCAACTTCTTTATTGGGATATAGAAAAAAACACACGTTAAACAATTTTTTTATTTTGTTTTCTGAAAGAACACGTTAAACATTTGTTCTATGGAATATGTAGAAAAGTTTTCTCCAATGCTACGCTTTGTAAGGTCAATATTATTGTTGAAACAAAATGACATGAAAACAAGAATTAGAAATGAAAAAAAAAAGAATGTAAAAGCGCTCGTGTGCGTGCGTGCGTGTAGTGGGAAGGCACCAACACGCAACCTCAAGGAGGAGGGAATCCGTCAACAACCAAACACGTTGAACAAAAGGTTAAATAATCTATAGACAGACAGTGTCTTTGCCATTTGGCTTGGTGTCGGTTTCGGGACACTGAGGGAAAGCCACACGTACATTCATCTCTACGTTAGCTTCATTCTCAATCAATCGAAATTCCCAAACTCTAATATTCTTTCTTGAGTTCCGTCATTTCTTCCGCATTATTGTCGTCATTTATCCTTATTATTTTTGTTTTCGTAATCAGTCAATTTTTATCATCAAACTAGACAACTACTATATATATCCTCATTCTCCAACACACACACACACAATATGTATAGAGTCCGAAAAAAATCAAATAATCAGAAGAAAAAAATAATGGTACTCTTGGTCCACACTATGATTAACCGTTAAACTATCGTTTTCGCAAAAACTTAATTATTGTGATTACTTTTGATAATTTTTATGTAATAAACTAGTTTTATTGTTTGTTCTTATGTTTCCATGTAACGCAAGATAGATATCTACTTAAATATATATGATACGTGAAGCCACTCAAATATAATTAAGTTAGCGATATTGAAAATTAATTGTGAATCTTTGACTTGTGAATAGGGTTTTATGGTTCAGTGAAACTTTCGCCCATTATTTTCTACGGTCAACAACAGCAAGTTGATACTTTTTATTTTGTTTAGGTAAGTGAAGAATTTTCTATGTCTCGTGAAGGTTTTATAACTTCTTTCAACAAAGTGTATATATGTATACATATGTATCTAACTTTTGCAAGATTTATTTTGATATATATGCAAGATACAAAACAATCGATTAGTGATATATAACCTAATAACCATCTCTATCTAACTAATTTCAGCGTTAACTGATGATGCACGTAATATCTTAAAATCTGCATGAATTTGGGTTAACTTAAAACGAAATTATTGAAAGTTACATGTCGTTTAGCAATCATAAAAAATACATATATACATGTGGCATGTGGCAACACGAAAACGAGCTCGAACCGTTGGAAAAGAATAGAGAAACTCTTCACGTCCGTGAGGTTTTGTGTATGCGTTTGGGAGAATCTCCCAGGGAGATGTGCGGGTTGTGTTAAATTAGGGTTTGTTATGGGATTCCAACTCAAAACCAATTGGCAATGAGTGAATTGGCCCTAACCCTTTATATATTATTTAAGTCCCCTCACATCTTCCGATGTGGGATCTTTTCTCCACACGCCCCCTCGAGATAATGGCTCTTTTAGCCATTAATCTCGACAGAATCCATCACGCCCACTCGAGATAATGCTCTTCTAGCTATCTCGATGGAATTGGGCCTTCTTTTGGGCCATCAATTTATGGGGTGATCGGGCCTCTTTCCGGGCCGGATTAATTAATGGGTCAGCGTGTGTTCGGGCTCTGATACCATGTTAAATTAGGGTTTGTTATGGGCTTCCAACTCAAAACCAATTGGCAATGAGTGCATTGGCCCTAACCCTTTATATATTATTTTCCAATGGAATAGAATCAACAGTTAGCTTTGAAAACGGGACAAGATCTTCCCGATCCGGCGATTTACCGACGTCTTGTTGGTCGACTGGTATATTTAAAAGCCACTCGACCGGATCTTGTCTTCTCCATCCATATTTTGTCTCAGTTTGTTAATAAACCGGGCGAAGCACATTGGGCTGCAACCATCAATGTACTTCGTTATCTGAAGGGTACTCTCGGCCAGGGCATACTTTTAAGGGCTAACTCGCCTTTACATTTCACAGGTTGGTGTGATGCTTCTTACTCCAACTGTCCGTTAACTCGACGTTCCGTTACTGGTTATTTGGTACAGCTTGGAACATCTCCCATTTCATGGCAAACTCGCAAACAGAAGACGGTTTCACGTTCCTCTGCTGAGGCGGAGTATCGCGCAATGGCTGACCTTGCGCAAGAATTACGATGGTTGAAGATTCTTCTTAAGGCATTTGGCTTCAACCACGACAAACCGATGACAATGCTGTGTGACAGTCAAGCAGCTCTTCATATCAGCTCAAACCCCGTCTTTCACGAACGAACGAAACATATCGAAAATGACTGCCATTTTGTGCGCGATGACATAATGGCTGGCACGATCGCGACCAAACACGTTTCCTCTGCGGACCAGTTGGCTGACATTCTCACTAAAGCCTTGGGTCGTAAGGAATTTGACGATTTTCTTCTCAAGTTGGGCATCCATAACTTGTACGCTCCAACTTGAGGGGAGGTATTAGGATATACTTAACATAAGTATATCATTATCGTTAAATATGTTGTATATATCTCTTATATATATTTGTCTATATCTTGTAATCACTATAAATACTTTGGCCATGAGGTCTACATGAATAAGATCGATAAACATTAAACCCTTGTGACTAGTTTGTTAGGTTGGAATTTGAATCCTGATACGGGTTTTAATTAATTAGGATCTTCAAAATAATTGTGAATAAAGATCAATAAGTTTCGATCAACTCTTTGATGGTAATTGGATATAGTAAATATAATTAAGTATTTAAGTGTTTCTGCA